AATAATATAGTCGCCTTTTTGATAGCCATACAGTATTTGTAGGGTTGTAGTCAATTTTTTTTGTGTCAATTGACTGAAACAATTTTAAAAATGTAATGAAATTTATATTTATTTATATTGTGCGTTTCGTCGCTACAGGTCGTTCTAAGAACTAAATAGAATTGCTAAGTATCGTAATCGGGTATTTCTGAAGGAGGGTTTATAGGTAAATTAGGCACCACAAACGCATAATAATTTATTTTAAAATACATATTATTATTATTAAATAATTATAGATAACACTCTACAATTGTTATTTAAAACATTTTGATCGAATTTGACTAGTCCATTAAGAAGTGGTCAATTGACCGATGAGTTAAGAAGTAGTTCAATTGACCAGTGTCAATACAAAGTATTTGTTTACCAGTGTTACTAAATTCCTTTTAGTTTACGAAATATAGTATGAATTGCGAAAAACCCTTATAAGACTAAAATTTTTCCATTTGAACTTTGTTACGAAAATTAACGCGTTTTTCGCAAAAAAAATTAAAGAAACTAACACACTAAACAACACAGGTTCCAACTATTACCGTTTTCTAAATGCAAAAGTGGTAATGGTAGACTAGACTACTCCTATCATTATATTGAACTAAATTTAAAGAAACGGGATGATATGGAAAAAAATAAATTTCGATTAGAACCTTTTGTGTCTCCTGCATTGCATGTCAAAGAAAAAATTATTTTAGACAAATAATTTAGTAGAATGCTGTCAAATAGATGTAACGAATAAATACCTATCGGGGAGTTTACATAGTTCACAAAAAAAATGTATATCGATTTCACAAACAGTTCAAGTATCGAACGTCCCATTTTTCTTCGCAATTTTACAGAAATAAATATTTTCGCCTTCAATTTGACCTGAAAGGCTCATCTTGAACAAAATAATTCCATTCCTTCTTTTTTCCCATCGACGCTTTCGTTATTTCAGTCGTCGTGACCTTTGCAATGAAACGGCGGCGCCATTTGCACTTTCCCATCCGAACCTGGTCCGTTTGCAGCGTAATATCGAAACAATTCAACAACAATGGCGCTTTTTTCTATAAACACCGGTTCGTTGAAAAAAAAATTGGCACGTTTGCATCGTTTTGAGGTGAAGGTTTCCCCACTGGGTAATTATTTTTTATTGAAATTGTTTCCCGCAACTAGCCCAAAGATATAAGAATACTATGCGATGCAAGGACGTCTGCACGCGTATGATACAGAACGGATCGGGAATATAGTACTCGATTAAATTTTCCATTTCCATATTGTAAAAATGTAAAGCAAGTGACAACGACGGTCGAATAACAGAACAATTATTTTAATCAAGGTTAGAGTTGAGCTCATATCAAATCGCGGGATAGGCAATCACTCACCGATTTGCGGAATGGGTTGAACAGTCAATGACGTCACGCCGCTTTGATATTAGCTACGACGGACCTCCGACGCATTGTCTTCGGACGCTTTGTCATTGGGAAAAAAAAAGATTAATTTAATGGTGCGTTAATATTTATCTCACAATTTTCTGCCCAGAGAGTTATTTTCTATGTTCAGTGACGTCTTATTAATGCCACCTTAACTGATGAGTGGAAGTAACAAAGGTGGCAAGTGAAAAAAGAAAGTTTTGAGATATCTACGAAAAATGTAATAAAAAGAAAAGTATTCGTATTCGAAAATAAAAATTATAAAATAAAAGAAAAAAAGAAACGGGGTAAGTGTTAGTGAACATTTTAATAATATGTTTTAACAAACTGGCGTAAAAAATTATTCTTTATGTATTTTATGGCTTGTAAACAATAAAAATTAGGTTAACCACATACGTCAAACAAAATGTATCGTAAATGATACTGTAGTCGAAAATTTCAAAATAAATAAGAACTAAAAGTTCAGATTTTCACGAAATTATATATTTTGACATGACAATTGTTTCGACAACACCGTGTCTTTATCAAATGTAAATGATAAATGGATTTTCATCAAGTAAAAGCCACCTCAGTTCAATTTTTGAAAGAAGCTGGAATTGGTCTCTTTTTTCTATTTGGCATAGAAATACATTTGATAAAGACACGGTGTTGTCGAAACAATTGTCATGTCAAAATATATAATTTCGTGAAAATCTGAACTTTCAGTTCTTATTTATTTTGCTAAATGGATTTTCATCAAGTAAAAGCCACCTCAGCTCAATTTTCGAAAATTTCATATTAAAAGTAAATGTATTATTTTAGAAAAAAGAACCCGCTTCCTAATCTATGCTCGTAGTCGGTATGATTTGTGATGGCATAGCCGCTAATATAAATGCCTGACGGAATGAAATAGATGGTTCATCTTGTTTCCACTTATAGTTCAATACTTCAGGTTTTGTTCCGCCCTAAATGTCTATCTGATCTATGCAAGACAGCCGTCACTTACGATCACAATTACATTACTTGGAAGTAAGAGAGACACCATCAGTTGTAATTGGCATTTATCAATTTATCTAGATGGATTCATGTATTTTTTCTACTCCCGCCTGTAAAATACGTAATTAAACACTGACCTAGCGTGCGTCATTTTAACACGTCAGTTGCGTTTCCCATGGATCCGAGCCACTTCGTACATTTCCGGGATTCATTTATTAAACACTCGCTCTGCTCGTGTCAAATAAACTATTGAATTAAATGCCGTTTACCTCACTTGTTGCGTAATATACTATTCTATATAATAATAGATCAGGGTGTTTCTTAATGATATGCGAATATTTGAGTACGTGCATCTGCATGAAAAAATTATATATTTTTTTAATAAACTATTGTCAGAAACCTGTGGCCATGTAATAAATATTAAAACAATATCATAAAATCGTAAAATATACAAGTAAACCATATTTATTTTGTATTTACGATGAAATATCTTCATCAGAGTAAAAATTGGAACTGCTACTACCAGATTATGATCCTTTATCTAGATGAATACCAAGCGGTACCTTTATATCAAGTGTATTTTCGTTTTCGAGTATTTTCCCTATGTTCTTTATAACTGATCCAATTTTTTTTGGTAACTTTCTGGAGAGCTGCCTTCCAAGCAGAAACTACTACAATATCGTGGTGCTTTGCCTCATTTACGATATTTTTATTAAAAAATATTTTGAACTGAATCCACACCAATTCTATAGCATTAAATATACAATGGTAAGGAGACAATCTTAAAATTTGATTACCCAATTCAGCAATTACTTCGTCCAAGTTTGTTTTGTAATTTTTGACAATATTTCACAACTCACATTTTAGACCATTTTCTGGGCTTACTGCGTAGCCAGTTGATAATTTCTTCTTTTCTTCTCGATGCATTTGTTACAGTTTCACTAAGTCTAGAATTACCCATAATAATTCAAGATGGCCTTTCGACTTTCCGCAGCAGTTTTTAAAGAATGCGACCCTGTTTTGTAGTGGAAACTACAGTAATTATCCGGTAAAGGCGCTATCTCTGTCGTGTGTACAACACTGTGGCGTAATAAACAAAGGTAGAACACTGGCAGGTAAATGAGTGCGTTTAGCAATTCTTAGTATACGAGTTTAATGACTATAAAAGTTTTGATGCAGTGTATTACTCAGATAGAGCAACATACAGACAAGACTTTTCCTCTTGCTTTCAGATATTTTGTTGTCTGATTCAAGTCCAAGTAATTCAGGATTTGGCAAATCTTTCATAGTTTTACCCTTGTTCAGGAAAATGGATTTAGTTCACTTTTGCTATTCAGAAAATACAGTTTTAGTTTTTGTCGTCTCTTCGAAAAGCTTTTGACGTGGTTAGTGTTGTTATATTCTATGGAGTTCAGAAGGCACATTTTTCTGCTCCCTTTTCTAAAATACCTAATTATACCCCGATCTAGCGTGAGGTAAGCGTCACTTTATCACGTGAGTTTCTGGTCCCACGGATCCGAGCCACTTCGGGCATTATACAACAATCATATGAAGAGCATCACTTTGCCACCTCTTATGGTATGCAACACGCTTGGTAAAGTTTTTAAGTCACTCGTTAATTAGAGCAAATGCTGTTACCGCACTTGCTGCATAATATACTATTTTCTCACAGATGGTATACAAAAAGTCCATTGAACAAAATCCATTAAGCGAGTTTGTAGGATTCTAAATTTAATTAAAATTAATTAATAATTGGTAATTAAACAATAGATTCGTAAATCTCATTTTGTGAATCCAACATTCAGTATTTCGCTTGGTTCATTATGTAAAATATTACTTTTGCATTTCTGAATTTGAATGTTGTTAGAATCCGAACTTTTATTTTTATACGCTCTTTTATGTTGGATAATGCGTTTCTTAAATTTTCTTCCTGTTTGTCCGATATAAATTTTGGGACATGGTCCACATTTCAACAACAAAATTCCGGAGTCTACAAGTTGAAAAAGAAAAAGCTAAAGATTTTTTGTTCCAATTTCATTGTGCGCAAAATGTTTCGCAATATTTCCCAAAGATTTCGAGGATTTGGTACACCAAATTTCACTCCCTCAACCATGGTTTCACGTTTTAGTTATTCTACAAATACCACTTGCTAATCGGACGCTCCAAAATTACAGTTCTAATGTCAACGCGTTTCGTTTTTTCGCTCATACCTTCAAAATCTGCTCGCTCGGGTAATTTCTCTGACAAAAAACGCGAGTCGATATTTTGGGCGGCGGTTTTTCGGCAAAGATCGTCGCCGAAAACTCAAAACCGCAAAACGCTTCGACCGCCGCAGCAGGAAACCGAGGATACCGGATCCAATTGCCAAACTCCAAATCGACCGCTCTCCTACACCAACCGTTCCGGATTACTTAGTCACACGGGAACAAAAACAACGAATTTGTTTGAAAAGTGTTTTTCACGCCGTATCCGGTTGTCTTCGAACTTTGGAGACCTTGCGATCTAAAGACAGAGAGAAGTTCTTGGTCCGCCAAATCTATATATATAAGCCGCCCAGCTTTTCATTTCAGTGCGTTTCACAATTTTACACAATACCGTTGAAAATTTTTGCGTTGTATTGCACCGACGTTATGTCTCTATATCTGGTTAGTATGTCGGTAGATTAAGAAATCTTTTGCGAGTGCCTAAAAAATTGTCTTTGGGTTCGGTTCGGGCGATTCCTCGACATTTGGTGACCTTGAGCTTGAGGGTGAAGTGCGCTAGTGAATAATAAGGATTATCGGCTAATTTTTATTTCTGTGTTTCATTTACATGCGTTTGCTATTGTCTGCTTTACAAACTCATAATAAGTTACGGCTATGTCTAATGCAAACATTTTTTCCAAAAAAAAATCCAACGAAATAAACTAAAGACAGCAATAACAGCAAACAACAAAACAAAACATTTTACATTATTAAAGTTTAATAGTGCAGTGACAAAAATTATTTGGTGTAAAAAAAATGTTTGGTTTGGTCAAGTGCACCAATGGATAATGAGGATTATCGGTTGTTGTTCTCGTTATTTATTTTTTATTGTAAAAAATCCAATAGAACAAACAATATGCAATGAAAAAAAAATAGATTTAAAAGAATTTAGAGTTATTTTTAAAATATATTTGTTTGGTAACGACCAAACATTTATCTGAAATTTTGGGGGGTGAAGGTTTCCTCTTTTATTCATCTATTAATATATTATACTGTAGTATACAATTATATACATTTTTTCTTAAGAAAATACAAAAACGAACAGAAGATAATAATAGCAGCAAACAATAAAACAAAACATTTTACATTATTAATATTTAAAAGTGAACTGAGAAAGAATATTTGGTCTAAAAAATATGGAGTTATTTTTAAAAAATATTTGTTTTATTACAGCAAACAACAGAACAAACATTTTTCATTATTATGTTTAATACTGCACCAAAAAATATTTTCTGTTGTTTTTTTTTCTTTATTGCAATTATCTATTACAATTTTTCTCAAAAAATTCCAACAAAAACTAAAGATCAGAACAAAACATTTTATGCTCTTAAAAAAAATATTTAGTGTAAAAAAAAATTATTTAAAATTTTGGAATACAGGGAGAGTGAAGTGCGCCAATTAATAAGGAAGATTATCTGCTGTTATTTCTTTAATTTATTTTTTTGCGTATTATGCTGTAGTATAAAATTGTCCAGTTTGCACACCCGGCATCATCTGATACATACATTTTTGGCAAAAAAATCAATAAAACAAATTAAAAATAATAATAAAAGCAGCAATCAAGGCAACAAAAACAAAAATTTGGAATTATTTTTAAAAAATATAATTGCCAACTAACCATTTTTTTGGAATTTTGGAAAAAACTAAAAATAAATATTTATTCAAATAAATACTTTCCGCCTTTTTAATGCATGGTCAGACAATAAATGTTTATTTCATTCAAATAAATATGTTTGCTGAAATCTTAAAAGTACTCGTTAAGTTAATCACACACTTGTGTTTAAAGAATTGTTTGTTCCAGAAGAATAGATCATTTGTTTGAATCAATAAAATAATGCATTAATATTAACTAAATAAATAATAATACTTTAGTTTGTATACTATACTATATTTAACTTGTTTTTAGATTTTTTTTATTTCTACCTAGGATACCACTATTTAATATAAAGAAATGAGTTGGTTGTGTATGAATTTAAATTGTACCTTGGGATATGGTAAATGCAATTTAAGATAAGTGAATGCTTAATAAGTTTGTCAACTAACCAAAACTATGACAATGATATAAGCAAGAATTAGTTTATTGAACCAAATTTTGTTCAAAAGAAAAAAAAAGTTCCAAATGCATACAGTCCCTTTTAAAGCTTCGAAGGTTATTACAATGTTCAGTACTTTCAGGTAATTTACAATATTACTTAACTATCTTATGGAGGAGATTTTTATGACTAAAACTACTACTATGCTACTATGTTACTTTTAAAGTGCGTATTTACTTAAATGTATACAAACTACAAGCTTGCAATTGGATAATAAATTTTGAACGTTTTGTATTGCCCTGTGGTTGGTTTTAGTGAATGTTTTTTCTTCTTCTGGGAGACCTTCGCGTCATACGAAGAGAATTTCATTTTTTACGAATTAACGAATCATGACAATTTTTTATTGTTTATGGTCAATTATGTCGAAATATCTTTCATGATTGAACTTGGATTTTGCTGTTTGTCGTTTTTGGCAATCCAATAAATTCGATAGTATCGAATATACAGTGCATATTTTCCATCATCCATTGCACTTTTTCGCAGATGTTTTAAACACTAAGCGGGCTCTTCCTCAATGTTTTTCACCCGAATTCCTTTCATTTACAATGTGTCATGGGTAAAACGTTATGGGAATTATATTCAATTCTAATTCCTCAGGAAATACTTCAAACTGCCCACACTAATTACTCTGTGGCTGAGGATTATTATGACAGTATATTCTAACTTGCAATTACAGGTTTTTAGCTTAGCACTTATGGTGCTAGGTTGCCACGCCTCCGCACCGCTAGTGCCAACTGCTTCCGTAGGGTCATTGTATAACAGCTATCACGGAGACTACGCGGGGAAATACCACAATTACGTAAGTGAATTGTAACATCTATCCAAAGTTTCATATTTCATTATTATTATTATTATTATATAGCATTTATTGATATAAAAGGAGAAAAAAATACAAACACAATGTTATAATAAAAATGAAATGCTATAAACATTTTTTTCATTCCATGACAATAACCTCGTGTCTAGATAAACATCATACATACAAAATACTTCCCCGAGATGCTACTAGCTATGGCATAACCTTAAACGGTACCAAATTCCAAACATCAAGAAATTCTTGCAATTTGGGTATAACCAAAAATAAAAAACACTGAAAAATGAAAATAAAATGTATTGATAGTTACGAATTTTGACCCTAGTAAATAAATAATAACGTTTTGATATTATTATTACTAAATTTGACCTAGTTGAGGTACAATAAATATAGATATAAAAACTAGAAAAGAATCGCAAACAAATAATTGATAAATGGACCGAAACAAATCAAAAATGTTGATTTTAAAATTATTAGTTGTTCTTCAAAAGTACTATGGATTGCAGCTCTGCTTATTTCAGTTTTAATAAATGTATTTAATCTAATTTTAAACAATAGAAATATTCTAGGGAATAGGTATCTTAGGTTTGACGGTGCCCTGGTTTATTCTGGTTCTAGTTACAACACCTTATAACAGCAACTTTGGTTTAAAGGATTCGGAGTGCTATTTTTAGAAAATCGATTTGCCTTGACTTGACTATCAATACTCCAAGATACTATTACAAGATTTGATATCAAAGCTTCTCGACTTAACTTGAAATTTAAGTGTATAGTTCAATGGCAATTTATTACTATAACAACTAAAAGGAATACAAACAGTTTTAGAGAAGTTTATGTTTGTTGTTGTTAAAGCTGGAAAATTACCTATACTTTGTCTTGTAAATGGTTCCAAGTACCAGGCTCGTAATAAAAATCTGCAGCGCCTGCAAATGCCGCAACGCCTGCCCCACCTTAAAAAGTCAACTTAAAGAATAATTAAAAGATCGCTCAGAACACCATTTTTTTCAACAGATTGTTTTTTATGATAATTATAGCTTTTTAGTAGTTATAAATCTGCTCTCGAATAACCAATATTCTTTCTATTTTTGTTCGGGAAGGGATGAGAAATGACCCAGATGAATCGGACACTTTTGTCTAATTACTCGTATATTTTAGATATTGCCTGCTCGTTTCATAAAAAAAAACATTTTTTTAAATTTTCTGTCCAGTGTATCGCGTTTAAGATGAAGGCACCCCAATATTCTAGTTTACTAAATAAATACACATTTATGCAGCAACTGAATTTTCGATAGTTTGCTTCCCGTTAGAAAAAGTCCCTACAATCTGATCAATTTAATAATGCCATTCATTTAATTTAAATTCTATAATAAAATAAATAACACTGACGCAATAAAATAATTAATTTATTTTAAGAAAACAATAATTTTTTGTACTTAACTGATTAAATTTTAGAAAGTGATTACAACAATAGTTTTCATAATACAAATGACAATATCTGCTAATATCGCTACCCAAAAATAAAAAATCGAGTGGTGTAATATCAGGGGATCTCGGAGACCATAGTTCAAAACGTACAGGAGGTCCTTAGTTTATCCATTGACGAACAATTTTTGACCAGGCATGATTTTATCGAAATATTGGTCTTTACAATTTACTACCCATCTCTGGTCCAGTATCCACAATTTTGATATGATACAATCCCCCCTAATTTTCTTCAGGCAATGCCCCACATTTAAAAAAATTCCTTGGGCCCTAATCGTTTATTTCCGTCACCTTCTATTAATATTTGTAAGAGCTTTGGTTTATCCTTCGTAAATCATCTTCGTAAGATCCCGAAAAAATAATAACTATATTATTTTTATTATTATTTTATATTCTAGACCGATTAATCAGCAATCTTAGAGGATAAAAAGGGTGTTATTAGCAAAAGGGACTAGTTTAGAATATTCAAAGTAGGCAAAAATATCATTAACGCAAATCAAAAATAGCAGGCTTCCCAAAATGGATCCCTGTGGTACCACACTTGACTTATAATTGTGTTTGTCGTCAGCCAAAATCACACGCTCATTCGGATTAGTTAAATAGTTAAAATTTTACCGTCAATTTTTTAACTCGAAGGATTTATTGAACAAAGCAGTAACTTCCTCAGCTACAGCTACCAGTATTAGTTTTAGGAATGTAGAAAAAAATCCATCGCATCCCGCAGAGTTCTTACATTTTAGAGCTTTAGCTGTAGTGATTATCTCGTCCTTCCTACTAGGATTTATAAAAAAAAGTCTAACGTTCGAAGTGCTGCTTTTATTTAAAAAATGCATCGACTTATCGAAATTCATCCTGTTATCGGTCTGAACCACATTTAAAAAATAATTATTAAATGTATTGGGCAAGTCAGTGACATCATTGGGTAGCCATTTATAAAAATAAATAATAACTAAAAGTTCAGATTTTCACGAAATTATATGGACAATTGTTTCGACAACACCGTGTCTTTATCAACTGCAATTTGATTTGATAAAGACACGGTCATGTCATAATATATAATTTCGTGAAAATCTGAACTGCTAGTTCTTATTTATTTTGACAAATGGATTTTCATCAAGTAAAAGCCACCTCAGTTCAATTTTAACCATTTATACCTTTTAGGATTCGTAGTCTTGAATTATCACTAAACAAAATTTCTCTTTCGATAGATATGATTTTACCGTGAAAGACAACCTTTTTCAAAATTGAGCAACATATTTTTGTATAGTATTTCAGAAAGACGTCGTGACTACGTTTGCATAACGCCAGAAGATCCTTTAGTGACCCAACATTGGTTTTAGGAATATTTGAATAATCTTGGAAGGATGGACTAGCGGCTAATCTAAAAACATAAATTACAATGTTTTTCCAGATAAAAATCTTTTATATAGATAGGTAATAGGCTTGTCTTCATCTTAAATGGGTCACACTAAAATGTAAATGAAACATTGGTATTATTTATTTACTATATAATTCTTTTTTTTTTTGTTTTATGCTGAGTTATTTATTTCATTTCCTTCTTTAGCAGTATATTGCAATAACAATGTAAATTATGATATTGCTAATTCCTATTGGATTTTCAAGACTACTTGTATTATCTGATACGAGATAGGGATGGCAGGAGAGGCGGTGTTGCCCAATACATAAAAAACACATATAAATTTAAGAGACAAATCTAAACAACCGGACTTTCCGGACTACTGAAGTTCATTTAATTAAACTTAAATTGGGAGTTACCACTTTATTTATTTGTACTTTTTAACATCCGTCTAAGTCCAACGTAAACAATTTTATATTTTCCCAAAATTTATCTTTTTCGTCTTCGTCTAAAGGATATCTTTAACTCAATTTAAACTAATGTTTGTGGACTTGCTAACAATACCCTAAAAATGATAAGCTATTGTAGGCTTCTTGTTGAAAAACATAAAGTCCATTTAATAAATACATGTATAGAACGGCAACATTTCCATTAATTTTTCAAAGAAACTTCCACAGACTACTGTAATACTATTTAGAAAACTTCTGTATTGCTCCTGCATTCGGTTGTTTCAGTTAAGTTCAGTTTCGGTGAAGCTCTGAAGAAGAAACAGAATGATTGGCGAAGCGTCAGCAAGTTGGACTATCAACGACCGATTAATCCAGAAGTTTTGTAAATAGTAATATCTCCCTTATTTATGGAATATGGCTTTAGGAAAACCTTTAGCCAAAGAATTGGCTGATTCGCGGGTCACTAGTATTTTACTTCTGTCTAAAATTTTCACATTTTGTACAAACAGATTATCGAATATACTAGTTTTAAAAATCTAATACCGGAAGTGCAATGTGGCTTTAAAAAAAGATATAATACCACTATTGCATTGCCAACTATTCTGATTGATATAATAAAGAGTTATTATGTGCAAAATCAAAGGATATTTCTTCAAAACATTTTCCCTTCAAGCGTTGATATTTTGTTTGGGGTCTCTCAGGGATCAATTTTGGGTTCTCTGTTTCTCATTATCTATACATCTGACATTTGAAAATCTGTAAAATATTGTAAAATTCAGGCGTATGCGTGGACATGTTTGATCAGGCATGACCTTGAAATAATTAAACAAAATTTTGAAATTTTAAACATAATTAAATTTAAATACAAATTAAAAGAATTTCTATTGAGAAAGCAATAATAGTAGCAATTAATTTTTAGGCAAATGCTGCTATTGTTGTTTGGGGGACTGGCTGAGTGTTTTCCCGCATACTTTCTGATATACTGATTGCAAAATATTTTTAAAATTTCTTTATTTATTTAAAAACGCCGTGATTTCTTCGAACCAAATAAAGTTCTTGCCCAACTTTAGGGTAAAATTCAAATCTCCTAATTTAATCCCACAACCATCAGGAACCAAGCTCCTACGCGTACGAGTACGGCGTATCCGATCCCCACACCGGCGACCACAAGTCCCAATGGGAAACCAAAGACAAAGCTGGCGTAGTACGAGGCAGCTACAGCCTCCTGGAACCCGACGGTTCTACCAGGATAGTCGACTACATAGCGGACGAGCATGGTTTCAGGGCGGTCGTCAAAAAGGTGGACGTCCACGGACACCCGGAGAATATCGAGAAGCACGGAGAACCAGACCAACCTCAACCAGTCCTGGTGGATGGCTCCCCAGCTTTCAAAAGCTACGACGGCGGAGTGGACGCTTACAAAGGGCTCCAGCCAGTGTTGGGCGACGTCTACACGAAACCTTTGGAGTACGTCCACGCTCCGAGGGCAGACAATCTGTACATCAACGTGCCCGACGACGAAGAACACTCCGCCTACCCCAAGAACATCATCATCCCGAAAGCGGAAGGCCTCAACTTGGGCGCAGCGCAAGGATACATTTCGCATCGACCCCACCAGCAGTATTACACCCCCCAGATTAACTACCAGGCGCCGGAAGAATACCACGTGGCTCAGGAGCCCAAGCTCACTCACGTTGCTGTGCCCGAGTACCGCGTTCCTCAATATCAGCACTACACGCCCCAGGATTACGCGCTTCCCCATGTATACCAGGTGCCGGAGATATCTCAGACCGCCCACGAGGAGTATTTTGGTATCCCCGGACCCGTCGATACTTACAATTACGAACAAAACTCGAGGTTCCCGCAGTACGAGCACCAAAACGTGGTCGATGAGCCTCCGAGGTATTACCAACACGATCAGGCGGTATTTCCGGGATACCACCAAGACGCGCACGCCCAATATGATTTGAATGCCAATTATTTAAACCAGGGACCTCATTACTAAGAGTAAAATAACTGCTGAGATGCCAAATGTTCCACTGGAGAGCTGGGAATCGTGCTGTGTACATACGTCGAGCAATGTTAATTTATTTTCTTAATATTAGCGAACGAAACGAGAGCCATGCAACGTAATATAAAATAAAGACCTTAAAGACTGAAAGTTGTTTTCGTTGCCTAGCCGTCGGGAACATAAAATTGAATGTCAGTTAAAGATTGTTTTAGAAAAACCTAGTCAACCAACGTTTGATCACTTTCGTTTTATTAGTAGGTACTCTCTCTACACTTTTCAGGATTCTAGAGAATATATTGGTTATAGTTGTTCAAGCAGAGGTAACAGATGATATTTCTAACCAACCTCAAGGCTTTTGGCTGTTAACAAGGGAGTACTCCAGGGTACTATTTAGGGTCCAAGTTTTGCAACATCATTACAGTTTTGTGCCGATGACATTCCACTGTACTTTTCCTTATTTTTTTTTTTTTGAGAAATGCGTTAACGAAGCAAGCAATAGTTTCTGAGTCGAATAGGTTATTCTGACACGGAAAACAACATAAAATTATGTTCAAAGAACTCTGTTTTACCTTTTTGTAGCTGTTACAAAGAAGTTTAGAACTCACTGAGAGTAGTCTCTTTAGGTTACGTCAATATTATTTCGAAATCTTCCAAATTCCTCCTGCAGATATTGCTGATAGATCAAACTTGCTCGCTCGCATTCTACTCTGTACCTGCTTATATAATGTTGGGTGGGAGGGGGGGGGAGCTAAAGGAGGAGCATGAACCTTGTCTAGAATGACTAATTCCCATATTGATCGCGGTTAAGGTGGATTCTCGGATTTCTCCTCAGTAGAAGAATTGATTACATGCAAGAATTTTAGTTTCATCGAATTATATTTGATTTCCAGTTTATTTATCGTAATCTTAACGCTCTTTCATGTTCTTTTAGCCTGGTTGATATTTTGTGTCCTGGCTCTTTAAAATGGATGCTATATCTCAAATGGAATTTTATCTTTGACGGATCGAAGATGCTGAAAGAGTTTTGGACAAGTTAGAAATCCAGTTTTAACGTAATATTTCTTAAGAAGTTTTCATATGTGGTGAGTAGTTTTGAATAGAAGGATTAATCCAGGATATTTGTCAATAGTAATTGCAAGTCATTTACTTTACTTTACGTTACTGACTTTATAATAAAAATATTAACAAACAATAAAATCAAATTAAAAATTATCTGCTGGTGAAATTATGAGAATAATAAACAGATATTACTATTAGAAAATAATAAAAGGATGTTTTATAGGTAGAGATAAAAGTCAACATAGAAGAAAGTTAAAGGTTGTATAAAATAATCAAAATTTAATTTATGGAAGCCGTCACTGCCATTACCAGCATATTAAAAGGCTTCTTTATAACAGCGTACTCATGCTGTGCCTAGTTAATATAGATAAGTATCGTATTATAAAAGTTCAAAACTCCTCTCTTATACTGGTATAGTTAGATTTACAACTCATAGTTCATCTTATCAGGTTTAGGTCAGGCTGAATTTATTGGCTATATGTGTCATAACATAAACAAATAAGATTATCAACTTATCATAGAAGGCAAAAACTATTGACCAGGAAGAAGGCGTAACTCCTGGTTTAAGAATCTACCAGAATGGAAAAATATGACCTCCATACCATCATCTAGCCAATAACCAAGAGATTTCATTTATTTTCAGGTATAAACTTAGATACTTGAATTAATATATGGGTTGTATCAGATCCTTAGTTACCGTTATAGTAGGATGATAAATTTAAATTTAACATAGATTCGAGTATCTCATTCTGTTAATCTCCATAGCTTTCAACAAATTCAGTTTTTTGCTTTTTGTCGCATTATGTGACATATCCAAATTATCGTCAAACTTGTACCCTGTTGAATTTAAATTAAATGCATACCAACTCTTATTTTTATATGCTCTTTTATTTTTATTTTTTTAAATTTATTTATAATTTTGACATGATCCACATTTTAACTTCAAGACTACATATTTCTCAGTTTTTTGAGTTACTTTTATTACTTTTATATTTATTTTTATATTTATATACATCTTTCAAAACTTTCTTGCTAGGTTCTCCTATGTATTTTATTATTTTATAAATTTTGGGTTCGGAGTTTAATATGAGGATACAGTTCAGAGTTATTTGAGGGGTCGTAACCATTGATGAAAACTATTTGTTTTATAATATTTCATTGTTTTTCAAAATTTTCATTAAAAAGTGGTATATTAAGTAGTGTGGATAAAATAATAAAAAATAAAATTTTGTTTGGGTAAGGAAGATTTGAGTTATTGTGTATTACTATGTCCGTGTGTGAGGATCTAAAGTAAATGGAATGGAAAAAAAAATTAATTACAGTTCAGTCCAGGAAGTTTAAAGAGTTTGCTGTCTCTATGGTACATTTTTACATTTATATATATAGAGTAAATATGATTCAAAAATGACTATAATTATCTTTTCGTTCCAATAAAACAAACCAGAACATCATCCACGTATCTATACCACCAAAGAAAACTTTTATTCAGATGATGTTCATGTATAATATTTACTAAATTATCCATGAACATTTCTGCAAGAAGTGAACTAAGTGGGTTTCCCATAATTAATCCTTCTTTGGCAATATAAAATTGCCCATTAAATTTGAAACAATTCTGGTCTAAACAAACTCTTAATCTAATAAATCTTGTTTTATGATAGTCTCTGAGCGAGAATATTATATGTTACATATTGATACGTTGATAGGTGGAATACTAGGAAATAGAATTTGGACGTCGGAAAAAACTAGAAGTTCCTCAGGAGGACTAGCTCAAACGAATGTTGGATAACATATCTATATATGAGGTTCTAAAATTTTTAGTAATCTAATAAATGAAATAAATTAATAAATAATTATTAGTTGGTATTTATATTTGTCATTAAAAAGTGATAACTGTAATTACAGTCGTGATATAACTCAGTGGGATCATATTGCGTAGGTTTGTATACATCTGGTTTAAGAAACTGTTTGATTTTTGTAATATATTCTAGATAATCGATAGCTATGACTATCTTTCCTTTATCTGATTTTATTGATGAGAGATGAGATTGATTAGTTGATTTTATTGCCGACATTTGTGAGAGATCTTGCAATTTACTGTTAGTTGTAACTTGAGATTGTATTGTGGATTTTCATCAAATAAAATCACCTTAGTTCAATTCCTATATACTTCCGTGTATTTAATTGCTTAATACTTCCTATCCACGGGTTAAATGTTCCCTTTGGTTAATTAAACGAGAAATTTTGGGCTGTAATAATATCTGGCTGTGCTAGATGTCTAATTTTCTTTCTTTCTTTCCTTCCCTTTCTTAAATTTTTTCAAGGTTATTTTTATTTGCCCCGAACTCATTCTCGCCACCTCGAAAGCCCACCACACTCCGGCAAATTTTCAAATAAAGCAAAGCAAGAGAAACTCTCTTGGCTTCTCAAATAAATGAGATCCATGCAACGGACGCCGTTAATTTATTTACATGGCGAGAATGGCAAAAATGAAGCACGAAAAACAATGTAAACCTTAAACACTGAAAATCGTTTTGTTTATTGAATCCATTGGCTCTGGTCGGTAGCGGCAAGTCGTGAAGCGAAAGTTGCGGGAAAAATATGGGCTATTGTTGGGCGAATTGCCAAATTAAAATCGATACGTTTATTTTTCAACGTAAATTGAAAGTGTCGGACAATAACAATCTTTTATGAACGTGTGCTTAGTCGGTACAAACGCGAGATCTGCAAGTGGCACGGGAAACGGCATTGACCTTGTTAATCGGAAACCGTAATGTTACCGAATTTGTTCGCTTTGGTTTCTTTAGACATTCGTAAATATTGTTCGCATAATGTCTAGGCGCATTAAGAATTTCTTAAAAATTGTATTTATAATGTCATTTTAGAATACTTATCTTTGAGAATAATGAACAGGAATTAATCCTATAAAATAATAAAAGAAGATTCTACAACTATATAAATGTATAAAATATGGGTATATAAAAGAACACAATTGACGGAGAAAGAGAGACAGAAGGTCCATATGTTACAAAGAAACTCTTTATTCATATCTAAATTGGTATATTGCTCTATAGTTATGTGCAGGCGCATATCATCGAAACTCCTATTTCTCTCTGCCCTTCATCATACGGAGTTCCTCTCTCTAATAGCCTTCTAGCAGTATTAATTTTTTGATTGTTGGTTATGCTGGTGGCAAATGCTTCTATTACATTTAAATGATGAACTGCGAAAAGAAAAGGAAAATTAACACTATTTAATGACATAAAACAGACAGGGTGCTCAGGTTTGTTTTTGAGTTATTAATCAAAAACGGTCGACTAAAAATTTTTGTACTCACTCAGAAGCTATTTTTATCTCTTTGATAACACAACTGAACATCGAGCACTCCGTATCACTTAATATTTTCAAAAAATAATCCAATAATACAAGGGTGAGAAATGTGTCTCTTTAAAGATCCTCAAGAGAAACTATTCTCAGCCATGAATATTGTCAGATTTAACAACTAACTATGCTGCGTCGATTGTTGAATCGAACTGACGTTTCGCCAATCATCCTGTTGACTTCTTCAGAGCTTAACTAAAACTTTTAAGTTTCTTTGAAAAATTTTTGTGCCCATAATAACAACACCCAAAAGCTATTTTTATCTCTTTGATAACACAAGTGACTGTGGAGTACTCCGTGTCACTTAATATTTTCAAACATAATCCAATAATACCAGGGAGAGAGAGAGACCCAAGAGAAACTATTCTTAATCATGAATATTGTCCTACATGTTGCCTGGAAAACGTTCTTCGTAATGTTCGTATCATATTCCGGTAGCATATTTAAAAATTGTTAATTAATTTAAGTATAGTACTAAAAAAGTGAAAATTAAAGGTAGGTCTGCTATCTACAAGAGTAAACAGATTAAACAGACGATATTGGAGGTGATTTATGATTTTTCACATTTAGATAACACAGAAAATAATTGTGTTTTACTAAATGTGATTTTCCGGTTTGTTCTAATTCCATGTGTTTTGGTGTAGAGAAATAAAAATAAAATTATATAATTTCTCATATTTTATCAATTTATAAACATTTTATTTTACATAATCATAATTAATTATATGTCAGTTTTGACAGCGACATTATTTTAAGTATCTAGGTCGAAATATAATCTCCCCTATTTGCTGTTTTCAAAATTTAAGAAACGATATCCATATAAATTTAGATGATCTGGTAATTCAGAACGGTAATATCGACCTCTGCGTATGTTTAGCTCTTTAATAGATCTTTCAATGCTGAACTTAAATAAATTGATTTTGGTTTGTTCCAGCTAAAAGTTTTGAAAGTAATTGAAACACACAAATTTCTATTTTCAAATTCAAAAACATCATATATTTTCGGAGTCAGAATGGAAAATTTCTGCCCAGAGGGACTTAAACATACCACAGGGTGATCGTATCTTTGGCGATTGGCATACATCACCGTTCTGAATCCTTGATTCGGCTTCCTCGGTCAACATTTAAATGGAAAACATCTTTTTAAATGCCAAATAGCGGGAGATTCCATTTCCATAATTCGCCACCTTTCTTAACAAAATGTTTCAATGGAAGATTTACGTTTTTCTCAACTTTATGAAATTGATGGGAAGAAAAAAAAATAATAAAAATTTTAGTTTTTTGTATAAAGCTTTTTTTAAGAGACGCCATGTATATCATATGACACAAAAAAGAAGAAAGACCTTTTTTCTCGTATTACATAGGGGTTGTCCTACTTATTTTGAAAGGCCTTTACACGTTGAAAATTCAATTTTATTTCATTGCAAAAAATGCCGTCCATCAAAAAGAACAGATATATAGAAAACACCTTCTGAGAAAGAAAATCTTTAAATGGAAAACGTCGGAGAGTTCCAGTCGATGGAAATGAACAGTTATATATTCTGCTTTTCTTTGAAAGTATGAACAATATTTATTTATTTAAAAAAATTATGGTTTCGTACTAATTTAGAGCAAATAGTGGATAATCCGCTGAAACCGCCAGAAATTATTTTGGAAAGTTAAAAAAAAATCATCTAACCCTTAAGAAATACAAATACCGCCCCTATAAATTTTTACGCGTGCAGGAATTGTCAGGCGAACATAAGATCAGAAGATTGTGGTTTTGCGAAGATATAATTATGGGACGATTTCAAGAAGATCCTCGTATTTTTAAAAAGGTTTGGTGGTCTGTTGAGGAAACCTTTACAACTACAGGAATATTTAATAAGCACAACACACATGTTTGGTATGGTAGTGCATTGCAACCAGGACCAGGCCCAGTTATGTGGCGAACGAACTTTTTATGGGCACATCTTAAAAAAAAAGTCTACACAGAGAGAAGTCGAAACTTGAATAACTTGACTCAAAACGATTTACGATCAATACACTCTCTAAACGCTGAGTTTTTATCAAAATGTCATTATTAAAATTCCTGCTAATTATCTGAAGTAGTATTTAAAGTAATGGAGGACACATTGAACAGTTATAAAATTAATTTTGTTTGTTTGGTATGTTGTTTACTGGTTACGATTTTTTAGATTTGTCGTTTCATAAATTCTATCCATGAATTTGTTTTCTATTTTGCTTCTTAACGGCACAAGTTCTCCAAATAGTTTTGGTTAGTTAGTCGGTTGAGATTTGTTATTATCATTTTTATAAAATAAACGTATAGTTTCAAAGTTTTGATTTTGACCATAATAATTTCACGCCATTTTTTTCAATTATTCTTGCGATGCGATATGAAGACCTATATATATAGTGAACTATATAGAACATTGAAGCAATTTTTTTTGAAAACTTTTCAAGAAAGGTTGAACCAACCCTATATTTTTGAAAACAGAAAAAAAAAAGATCATTCTTTTGTGGAATAATATACAGGATGCCCCATTTACTTAAATACAACTTGATGCGAATATATTTATTGTTTTTGTTTGCATTAATTTGGAAAAACTCAGAGAAAACTATACAAAATTTTTTTCGATTACTTCAAATAAGTTAAGTTAAGTTAAGTAAGAAATTCTCAGATTTTTATATTTAAAGTTTAGTTTAAATTTTAGTACTGATTTTGCTGGAACGCTCTAATTTCACCGCACGGTGAAGCCGCGGATTTTGTCCAGAGGTCGCGAACATTTATCGCATGATCAATATCGGTTGAACTAATCACGTATTTGTCAGAAAAAACACCGTTCTACAAATCTCCACGAATCGACCTTCGACGGTATGACTTTCGATTTTTAAGCGATATTTGCTACGCTCTGGGAGACAATGTGTAGTTAAAGGAGAACAAGAAAGAAAGTACACTTAACACAAAGCACAATAACAATTAAATAATTCACCATGCATCGATGGAACAAATTAAAGGACGGTTACAACTAAATTGTGTGCGATGACGGTAAAGCGGAAGATTTGGGGGTTCGTGGCTAATACGAGAAAAAGCTGTCAGTCATAGTCTCGCAGAAGGTCAGGACGGATCAGATATGTTAACGGTGTCCGTTATAATACGTTTGGTGTCTTCATTTCCTAAACGGCGTGAAAGGGACGGCATCTAATCAAATTTCACGGGAATTAAAGAAAGGGTTGATACGTAAGAACTGTTATTAGTTGTTTTTTATGTCAGCGTTTGATTCGAAAGTTAGAATGCGAGACAGGGAAATGACTTTCGGGTTTTAGATTACTTGGGGTGCCATCCTGCACAACTCCAATGGAAAAAATACAGTCGATCTTAACAACTTCATTTTTTTTTTAGTGGTGGCTAATTTATATTCACAAGGCAAATTAATCACAATTTTTTTTAATGATTGAGGGTAATAATCTTTACTATTTACACACCTTCTGGATTCCTCCTAATTCCTTGATGACATTTAACTGAAACGTTAAGTCCTGATGAAGCCGACGGGATCGTGGAATGTCAGTAAATTCTATTCCTCAATAAGCGACACAGAAGGAATATTTATTTATATAAAAGCGTTAGAATAGAATAGAGTTTTGTTTTTAGCACGTTACGGAATACAGGGCGGATTAAACAGTGAAATATTTAGAAGTATGCTCTTGATCTGGTCTATCAATGCGACCCAAAGAATCTCAAAAAATATAAACCCTTTACTAGTCTTGTCTATTCAAGTTTTTAAGAAACTTCCTGGTCTGTCTTATTCCCGACCTATTTATCCACCATTTCTGTCTTTCTTTTTCCACCCATTTTTTGCTGGTAATTTTGTGTTTAACCCCCTGAATAAACAGTTCCTCTCCAATACCATTTTAATGACACTTTAGCTGATGTAGCACCCATGGCATTCCGATGACCCAAAAGTAGCTGCTTTAGTATTGAACCCATCAACTTCCTCTTCAATTTTACATTAGGTACACTAGATTACTGTTGCTTTTATTTAAGGGTCATTTTTAACAGTATCATGCATATGTAGCGTTTAAATTAAACTAGTGCCCATGGGTATGAACTGTATTCTACTCAGTGTGACGTTATTTTCAGCATATGTCATGCGAATCAGCCTTATTTGAGCAATTTATGCCATCCATATGATATTATACCTGTGATTAAAGAGATCACTTGCATAATAAATATACAAAGTCGGTACTGGTATGTATGTTTGAGGAAGACTGGAGGTACTTTTATTTGCATATCCCAGCTCGTTGTGCCATAATTTTTCAAATTGAGAAAATAATTTTTCATCTGTATAACCTTCACCATTTGGCAAGACCAAAATCCACCACGCCACCTTGGAATATTGAAAAGTACGGAGCGTCCGATAGTTTAACCCTTACACAATTAAATGACTTTTATGCCTTCCGATGCTTAAGGGTGTAAACGTATGACATAAATCAAGCGATTGATCTCAACAAAATTATTTTTTATTATAAACAAGCGCAAAACAAAAACAACAACGACCACTTGGGGGCAACATCACCACTCTAGCGTCCGGACCCGTGACCCCAGTGGGTCACCCCCACGTAACTCGTGGGATGCTCGTGTCCATGGTGGGAGGGATGCGTGGCATGGCCTACGCGTTTAACCACAGCCCGGAAACCTTCGTGGGGTCCGGAGGTGTACTCCACGATCCTGTGGGTGCCGTCCGCTTCCTTCATGGTGTACCCTCCTTTGACGTGGTCTCCGTGACGGTACTCGTGCTGCTCCTTGACATCATGGGTGTGCGGGTCGTGGACCCCATATTCGAAATGGTAGTGCGGAACCTGGAAAATTACGTCGTGTTGGCGTCCCAGCTAGGAATGATCGTATGTAAAGCTTTGGAAATGAATTTTTAGCAGCACCCAATGGCTTTTACATCTTTTGGTGGTAGACTATGATTCAGGGATTAAGGGAGCTTCCATTGCCTTAATTTCTTTCTGAAGATCCTACTAGCGCCTACTAGCACTCTATATAGCTCGAGCTATTAAGCAAACAGGAGTTTAAGTAGTTTCTTCCTTCAAATCGTCTAACGCCTTGTAGTATAAACTCCTTCATTTTTTATATATTTTAAAAAATGTAAGTCCTTCAGGTAAGTTTGTTACCCTTGTCATGGAAAGTTTGTACACCAACGTATTCTTGGAAGAATAGTTAGGTATTGTCGAGGCCATATTGAGGAATGATATAACACTGCCAGACAAAACTTCCTTGCCAGTGGAGCAAGTGGCGGAGCTCCTTAATTGCTAAGTTTTGATAAGTTTTAGTCTCAAGAAGATGGCCCACCGATGAGTTACCTCGCCCTTTGGCGGTAGCATATATGTAGATGAAATGTTATGAAACTCACGCAATAGGTGCGGCAATTATTGGAATGGAAGAACGTCTAGATACCCTAATTGGTAGAAATAATGTCTCTATTAGCACCTTTATATATAGGAAACCTACACATATCGGACAGTATTAAAATTTTAAGTCTAAACATTCTGAGCAAATAAACTAGGAATCATAGAAATAAAATGCAGTGGCTAAGCATCATTCGATGTAGTATTAAAAGGGAGCAAATAAAAAAGGAGATCAGTTGTAAGTACCGACAAACTGAGGACGAAATTTTTACCACTGAGGAACAGATAAAGTCACTTACCGAAGTAAGAAAAAATAACAAGGACAAATACCTGATAAAAAAAAACATAGATCACGCATGAAAGATGAAATTTTTTATACTCATTGAAGAAAGCAGAACAATCTCACAATATACAAAAACTTTCAGAGACAAATACAAAGAGAAAATTTTACAAAACAGATAGGGAAGGCCCAATAAAAAAAACTGATTGTAGACAGAGGAGACATCAAACAGACTCAAGAACCAAATGAAATGCATCCAGAATTCTTTAAACTTCTTGATGGTGAATCTATTAAATTCCTGACTAGTATATTCAATATCATCTACAACATCTCAAAACAATGGCTCTTCTCAGAATTTATAGTACTACCAAAGAAACAGAGATCCAAAACATGCAGTAACTATCGAACTATCAGTCTTATGAGTAGCAAAAGGTATTCCTTAAAATCATCCATCGGAGAATCTATAAAATATGCGAGGAAAGAGTTACTATCACCCAGTTTCGATTTATGAAGAATGTGGGCACAACATTGTGGGATATGAATTGAGATATTTTCGCATATTTAAACGACTATTAAAAATCCCTCGACAACATAAAGCACGAAAAGATGATGGAGATTTTGAGTCACACGGCAATGGATGGTAAAGATCTGAGTATTATCAGGGACCTTTCTTGGAATCAGCCAAACCATATTAAAATCATTGTGGGGAAGCAACATGGCTTAGAATTCAACATTAGTAAAACCAAATAGTTGCGAGGTACGACCTTATGATTAACAACACAAATATAGAAAGGGTTGACAGTTTACCTACTTGAGAACCATAATTAATGAGGATTTGAATCATACACAGGAAATAGAATCAGAATAGAGAAAGCCTTCATTCAAATGGCTATATTGTTTTAAAGTCACAGTCTTAACATAGACATCAAAATCAAACTGCTTGGAGTCATGGACATGAAGCAAGGCAACAGAAAATATGCTGCATGCCTTCGAAATGTGAATTTACAGAAGAATATTAGGGGTTTCATAGGTGGACAGAGTGCCCAATTAAAAAGTACTGGAACAAATGCAAGCATTTAGAAATAATGAACACAATCAAAAGAAGAAAACTCGAATAACTTGGACAGATTATGAAAAACGAAAGTAAATACTGCATTTTAAATTTGTTCTTCAAGGGAAAGTCTATGGTAAAACAACACAAGCGAAACAATACAAAGACAGAAATATTAGATTAGATTAGATATCGACTACCCAGTGAATGTGGGGGCACATATTGAAGAAACACATGGACCTTTAAAAAGTTGAAGTCAGGAATTGCGAACCATGTATGTATGATATTAATGTGTAACATGTATAACAAGGTTAAAGTAACCGTATGCATTAATGCGTCCAAGCAATCCAAAAATTAATCATCAAAAAGAAACATAAATATTAGACAATGAAATACATATAAGAGTAAATAACAAGATAAGCTCAGAATTCCAAAAATATAAAGGTTAAAATTTACATGTAAGATTAAAGTAATATTTGTTTGATTTAAAATGTTTATATTATCTAGGTGAAACTCATGTTGTAGAAATTGCTATAAATATTTATTAGCATTAATAAACAATGAAATATAATCCTACATAACTAAAATTTACTTTTAATGCGAAGTATTATTTTTAATTTTTAGTTACCGTTGTCTACTGAATAAACGTATATTGTTATTGTTAAGAATATAGGCATATATTTTCAATAGGTGTTTGAATTTTTGCTGATGCCAATAACAAAGGCAAATTAAAAAATATGCTTGCTCAAATCTGTGGGTGAGGTACAAGTGATATTTTTTTTCCTAGGAATGTCGCTAGGGCTTTACCTCAAATTAAGATATTACGAAAATGAGCCATCTTAATTAATACACAGGGTGGTTTAGAACTGATTGGATAGTAGTGTTGAAAGTTACCTGTATTTTAAAAGATACCGGAAAAAGTTTTTAAAAAAGTACATGAGTGCAATTAATGTCAATTGCGTTTTTTTCTAAAATACTTTAAGTGAAGTTGCATTATTAGCTATTGCAATTAATATTGAAATGACCTTTAAAATATAATTGAAAAAATTATTATAAAAGCATAGATAATAATGCGTACACTTATATAGTGAAAATCACAAAAGACGTTAAATTATAAATTATATGAACTAACAAATGAACGTACTTCGGTGATAAAATGGGTAATCTCACGAGGTTATGTTATGTTATGTAATCTGTCAAACTGACAGCAATTAAACGCGACATTACAAATTTGTATAAGTATTATTCGAAACGCTCCAAAATTGCTGATGGAATTTCTTGCTGTAATTTTTAAAAAACTGGTCCTAGATTTCTTTCTGAAATATTTAGTTAAAGAGGGCTACGTAAAAAAATCTACAGTACCCTTATAGTTATAAACTATAAACTTTGTAAATGAGTAATTCGTAAAGTTTTCTAAATCCATAGTGTTTTACTTTGAAACACAAAAATTCGCCAATGTTATTTAACAAAAGACCATCTCTCCATGATAACTCTATAGCCAAGCAATGAATACTAATTATTATAGTATGTTTTTTATATATTTTGTTGGTGCACCTTTATCTTAATGTAAAATGCATTAAACGAAATCTCAAACAAAAAAAATGTTACTTTTTGTTAATTATAATAATTTTGAAACTCCTCACTTCCACCCCGTATAATAATTGTATAAACAAAAATTTGAAAAACACATATTTAAAACGAAACGAAGCGACTATTTCAAAACGTGACGCTATAATTTTTATCACAGGAAAATAACATTATTTTTTTTATCAATGCCCAACACTTAACATGGAGACGTTTCACAGCGCATTCGTCTGGAGGCGACCGCAATACTTACGAAGTGGTGTTCGTGTCCGTGCGAGAAAACAGCGGTAATGGCGACCATAAGAAAGACTGCGACCTGAAAATTTAATTGATGTAATTGATTTCCAACAGAAAGCATGACCCTGTTCATAAAGGGTTTTAAAATAATATTATAATTATAATGACTCTAGGATTATTATTATTATTATTATTATTATTATTATTATTTTTATTATTACTATTATTATTATTATTAAGCCCTGGAACACACAGTCTCAGGAATATCTTGAATGGAGAATGAGTGAGTATGATTAAAACTTCGTTGTCTTTGCTTATAGTTTATGAGCAAATACAACATTAATAACTGTCAGCTTGTGATCAACCAATACGAGGCAGAATGAAAATCGCCAGGACTACATTCATCAAACCTATGAAATAACATTGCACACCAAGATCACACTCCTGCGTTTTTACGTGTTCTCTGAAGCATGAACGCTTACAGAAGCTACCACGAAGAAACGGGAATCATTCGTATTGTCATAACAAAAATGGACAAGGAAAAGCAAAATCTTGCAAAGAAAAGTAGTGGCTACTACGTACGGGTACTGGTAGAAGCCGAATTTTATGGTTGAAAAATCTCAGAACCTGAATTGGTATAAGTAAAACTCAATTACTGCAGTAAACAAAGTTAAAAATATGAGAAAAAGAATACAATATAAAAAAAGAAGATTCTAGAAAAAAGAAAAACAATTTCCAGACAATTGATAGAGAATTGAAATACAGAACCCACTTAATTTTTTTAATGCAAGCCATTTTTATTAGTCTGTTTTAATTTTATTACTTGAGATAAATCACCAAATCCCTTGTTTTAAGAACAAATTATCCCTCAATGCCCTTTGAATATTATTATGTAGTGTCTGGTATCAAAGTTACTGCTATCTTAAATTCCCGGTATCGCATCATCCAAGAATTTTGACATTCCAAGATGGCTCTGGTTCTTTTTCGAAAGTACGCATCATTATAACCATATTTGATATCAAATTGTAATTCTTGGAATTTGAGTGAGAATTTCCAAAATAATTTTTATTTTTGGAAGTGGCTTCAGTCGATATCTCTTCATCAGTGGTGAATATAAAAAAACCACCAAAAACTGGCAAAATGACAAAAACAGAAAGCAAAATATTATGCATCACAGAGTATTCTCGTATCCCGTATTAGTATCGTTGGAATTGTGGGAAATCCACATTTCGGAAAGGTTCGTACAAAAAAAAATTGTAGTTTTCCAAACTTTCTATATACAGTATGTCCCATTTACACCTTGTATTAAAACCTTATTTTTCTTATCGCTTAAACTGAGATTATTTGAAAAAAGAAAAAGAAGAAAGGAGTACTGTTAGGAATTTTTGAAGAATAAATTGCCAAAAAATGCTTATTCACAGTAGGGAGAACTCAACCATTCCTATCATGTTTCGATACGGGGTGTTTGAAATATTTTATTTACGGTTTGATTTTGATATTTTTTTTAGTTGGATAGTCCCCTCAAAAACTTACTAAAACCTTATGTTGCTTACGAGATCAAACTGAAGACATGGCCAATTGGAACTACCTTTTGATGCCAAATATCGATTATTAGCGATTTCTTCCAGAATATAGTGTTAAAGAATTCTTATTCAGGACTACCTAAAAGAAGTTTTCCTTAGTGTTTACGAGAATTACATATTGTCTACATTAAACCTTTCAAATATTACAAATTTATTAATGCTGTTATTTTACGATGAAACTAAAAAATAAATATCTCTTAAAAATCATATGAACTTTCTTATCTTTATTTTTTGAAATTTATAAAATCAGAATTTGTTTGTAAAATTTTAAAATCATTCACAAAATAGTCGTTATTTAACAGGTAAATATCTTCTTTTTTAAAAAAAAAATAAAAACTTTCGGTAGGTAGATAGGTAGAATACGAATCTGTTATTTTCAATTCTAAAAGTACGATACGCAGCTTTAAAAAATTGTATCAATCGCCCAAAAATTTTGCTGTATAAGTCATCTCATTGCATTTTCGTAAGTTCTATCCAACAAAAAAAGATTTATCAAAATTGAACCATAAACATTCTATCGGAATAGTGCTTAAACGAGTTCCCTGTGACATTTCGAGCTTCATGGAAATTAGTACAGTTAAGTTTTAGATAGTCCCGAAGGAAAATTCGTTGCCAATTTATTGTTTAAAAAAATCTCTGCTGTTAATTAGTTCCAGTTGGTGACAACTTTACTTAGAAGCAATAAGAAAATATTTTACATATGTACATATCTTAATAATACAATTCACTAAAAGTAATAATTTTCTTGCATTATGTAAGTCTCTTAGATTATTTGCAATATGACAAGTCACTCAAAATTACCAAATATATAGGCGGTTTCATGGAAAACCTAAAGTGATTGAACAGTGAAACCACTACAATCTCTGCCTCAGTTCGTTTGAAAAAGTTCTTAACATATTTTGCAAGCCCTGCTCTAAAAAGTCTATGTAAACCTGGCAATTAATTGTATTTAAAAAAAAATAGGCACTACATCATTTTCTATTATACCACCTCAAACATTTAATAAACATTTTGGAGGCCATAAAATGGGATCTATTTAGTTTAATTATATTTTGGGCTTTCTAAATTAGTGGAGAAAGGGACACATTTTTACCTTGTTACTTTTTACAAAACTTCTGGATTCCTCCTGCGTCGGTTTTTGCTGAGTCAAGCTCTGAAGAAGCCAACAGGATGATTGGCGAAACGTTAGCAATTTCGACTCAGCAAAAACCGACGCAGGAGGAATCCAGAAGTTTTGTAAAAAGTATTACAGTAGCCTGCGGAAGTTTCTTTGAAAAATTAATTTACCTAGTTCTTTTAATTTTTATTTGCTTATTGCGATATTTTATATTTAGTTTTGTGCTCAAAAATGTGCACACCTCAAAAAGTACCAAGATTAGGTATGCTTAATAAAATTGGAAGCGAAATAATATAAGTAATTAATGGAAGTGTAATATACAGGGTGTGCCTTTTGATATGGTTCTAACTAACTTCAAGACAAGTATAGGATAAATGACTGTACTACTTTATAAAATTGTTGTCATAATAAAACCTGTCAGCAATGGGGTCTAAAATATAGAGTGGCATTTTTGATAATAAATGACCATAAACCGAAAACACTCGCTATAGACCACAACAACCCTACATCGTATGATTGAGTGTACAAGCGAGTATGTACTAGTGAAATAATACACAGGGTGTTTCATTTAATTCATATTATTTTAATCATTTTAGCTCCCACATATTTATTAATCACCCTGTATATTGGAACATAATTTTAAATTGTCTCTTTTAGTCTCATATACAACTTTTGGATTTAACATTTTTTTCTAAAACAAGAAAATTACTTTGACACATTATTTAGACGCCCTGTATATATATGACGCACGCACGGTGTATGAAACACAAGATAAAATGAAAACGCAACCACAACACAATGATCGCTGTTTTATTACACAAGCCGGAACTGAATCAAACTTACCGTCAAAGGATGCATTCTTTCTTGAAAAGCTTTGAAAATATCTGATAGAGGAAACAAGTTGGTTGAGTTGGTTGATAGTCAACGATCGACTGATATCAACGCTGATAGAGGAATTGACTTTTATAGGAAAAGGCGAATCAAATTCTACCGTTGATAATGAAAAAACAAATTGGAAATTATGTAAGTGGATATGTGCCAACGCTTATTTTTCTACGGCATTCCGTGTGATTAACAAACTTACCCGAATTCTTCCGCGCGTTCACGGTTCACCGGAGAAACGAATCACAAAAATACGTTTAAAGCTCGCAAGAAAATTAATATGCATAATTTCGTTGCTTATTAATTTTTTCCGCGTCTCTTGTCGCATGCGGTGAACAATAATGTTTGCATAAAAGTTCTGTGAAAAAAAAAGCTGCCCAGCATCGACATTCGATAGGAGTCACATTTCCAGCTGGTAGAGAGGTAAACAGAGTTTAAAATTCGATATACTTAAATATTAAAAACTTGCATTGTTAGCTACTTCCAAAAATTTAAAATCTTAAATTACTTTCTATTTATGTAGATATTAAGAAAGTATTCGACATATATAAATATTAAAAAATGAAGTTGTTAGCTACCTCGAAAAATGCAAGATAACACATCAGCATTAATTTGGGTTCCAAAACAGCAAATCCACCAACAATGCCATTACTAGTTGATTTATGTTTTGGAAGGTATAGCCCACTCCATCTTTTTTGTGATTTTTTGTAATATTTTTTACGTAAATTAAGTCCTCTGATAAGAAGGACCTAGTAGCAACCGTTTTCAAACTATTTTTGTTACAAATAATTTCGATAATAAGTATTATATTATAGTAACTGTTTATCTGTAAAATCCTTAAGAAATATGAGAAACTTTTTAATGATACGGGAAGGGAAAGCTGATTTTTGAAAATTCACACATGGAAATATCTGTAGTATATTTTGCAATGTTTTTGAAATTTTTATGAATTTAGCAACAAACTCAAAGAAATAATAAAAGAAAATGGTGGCTTGTGTTATCATCGAACCCCTCATTTTTCCTTACGGACGTCTATGGACTTGAAGTTAGTTGTTTTGTAATTCCGTTGATGATTTGCCCAACTTTTTCTCTGGTTTAAAATTGTCATTTATGTGTCCTATGCGAGATAATTGTACACTTCTCCTGTGGCGGTTATTTATAAATCAATTGCCTTCAAGGACAATTTTCTGCAAATTTCATTAGCAAAATAATTTACCCTGTATATTGAAAGCTTAAAAATTTCTTATTTATATTATAGAATCAGCCCTTGAATTATTTGAACGTTCTTTCATTACACTCTGTATATAATTATACGGCGTGTCTTCGGAAGTTCTTCACAAAGTGAGAAAATTTTTAGTTATTAACTTTACGAAAAAAAGTCTCTTCTTAAAAAGTCCTGCCTGGCTAGAAAATGAATTTGCACACAAGCAACAAAAATTGCCCGGTAAAACTAAAGTACTCAAAAATCTAGATTGCCACATACCTACAAATGACACAGCATATGAAGAGTCATTTTATAGGATACAGTGCCTTATAATTAGTTCCAGTTAATCAATATCACAGAAAGGTCTGTGATTGTACACTAATTCAAAATTCAGTGATGTAATGTCTGGTAACCTAGGTGGCCGGGGTATGGTCTGTTCATAGATATAAGAAAGTGACCAATTTCTTTTGAATGGGATTATCCAAGGGTGGGCAATAACATACATTGCAACAAGGTTATTACCTAAAGTTTCGGAATTTAAATTCGGGTAAAATTGTGGTCAGTAATAGAAAATAATTTTATACCTATCTGTGTTTAATATTCTTTGGTTACTATACTACTTAGTTTAAGTTTATTAGTAATCATTCTTATTTCGTGTATAATACAGCGTGTGTTGAATCGTGTGTGAATTATGCAAAATATGTGCGAGTCTAATGGATCTCTAAGTGATCAAGATATAATACGGCGTAAAATTTACCAGTTATACGAGGAACAAAGCGTGCCTACATTCGATATCTTAATTAGGAGGCTTGAAATCTTGTAGAATTCGAAAATGGTGACAATGTCTAGCAAAAAATAGGATTTACAGAGAACAACAAAGGCCAATTATTTACTTGGATGAAACCTGGTTCGACTCGTATGATACACCGGAAAATTGTTGGGTAGACTCAACTGATAAGTGTAAAATAAACGCACCATCAAAAAGAGGTAAAAGAATGACTATTTTGCATGCTGGCTCTAAAGATGGTTGGATTCCAAATGAACTTTCTCTGTCTGCGAAAAATATTAAAGATTCTTCTCTGGATTACCATGAAGCCACCACCGCTGATTTATTTGAAAGTTGGTTTAAAAACAAACTAGTTCCAAACATTCCTCCTAATAGCGTCGTTGTAATGGACAATGCCAGTTATCACAGTAGACAGTTGACTAAAACCCCTTCCTCATGTGACATAAAAGCAACAAACCAAAGCTACATGTATAATAACGACATTTATTTTCACGAAGATTATACCAAAAAGCAATTAAATGAAGTTCTACTAAGCTTGAACCTACAAAAGGAATACGTCTGTGATAATTATGCAAAAAAATCTAGGGCATACAGTTTTAAAGTTCCACCTTACCACTGTATAATTAATCCCATTGAACATGTTTGGCACCAGTGCCATTCGTCGTAACAATGTTTTTTCCTGTGTTAACTCCAATGTCCTCAAACTTATAGAAACCGAAGTTTTTAGCATCCCTCCAAAATTTGGGCAAATTCTGTTAAACATATAGAAAAAGCAGAACAATCATATTTCCATATTGCAAATAATATAGAACAAATAATAATTAGAACAAGCGATGAGAGCGAAAGTGATACTGATATATTATGTGAATATTTTTAAGTAATTTAAGTAGGTAATAAAAATAATTTGTAATTTTATTATAGATTTAAACATAAATACATAAATAAATAAATAAATTTTGGTTAGTATATTTCCTAACAACACCCCAAATGATTAAATTCTAAGCAAAGTACGGACCTGTTCGGTCATATTTCATTCTTACAGCTTGCCCGGGTCTTTCCTTAATTCGTACCTGGTAGTGACTTTCTTATATCTATGAATAGACTTTACTTCTGAACGGTTCCCTATCCATCTCTGTATAAAAGTTGTTAACACTGGCTGTATTGTGACACGCTGATACCAAAAAGTCTGTCGCACTTTTATTGGCTATTCTTAGAAAATTTATATAAATCTCACTAGTAATATAGCTTTAAAAGTGCTATACGAATGTATTAAAGCGCCTCTCGCACAAGGAATCGATTTGATTTTTAGAACGGGGAAAGTTCCAACGCATTTTAAAAGTTCTGTTGTTACCTCTACGCAGGGTGAATATCAGTGATTAAGGATACGATTTTTGGGTCAATTTTAAACAGAAAACTTCATATGAACATATGTTCTAAACTTCTTAAATTTTGAGATACAAGGGGTAAAGTTTTAAAAAATATATTTTTTAATATCTGTAATACTAATATTTTACTAAAATTTTTCACACTTGTATTACGCATCAAGAGGCATTGTTTGGTGTGCTCCAATTTTTTTATAAATACATCAGTGACATTGATGTCAAAAATATCTCTTAAAATAAAAATTATTTTTAGAATCTACGATCATTTATAAAGAAATAGAGAGAAAGAGTTTTGCATAAAAATAATATTCTCTCAAAAAACTAAATTAAATTGGTTAATAGTGTCTCAGAAAACAATGAAATACTTTATTGCTTAAGTCTTTGGAAACCTGAGGAGTGTTGGAGGTTTTTGGGAGCTTACAGACCGCCCCCAACAGGTCAAGATCGGCAAAATTGCGAGCTGGATAGAGACTGTTAAACGCGGTATACCACAGGATACGCTAATAGCACCTATAATTTTTAATATTTACTGGGACAGCCCATGCAGTTCTGTCCTAGATTGCAAATTTATTTCACATGCTGATGATACCGTGATAGTTTTCCTCTATTTCCTCTATCCGCTAAAGCTAAGTTAAGATATTGCAAAAACACAATATATTGACAATTACCTGACAGAAGCCACATTATAGTGAAATTGTTGTGAACAATGTAGCGGAACCTCTGAAAGAGTGAACCTATATCAAATACTTAGGTGCAGTGATAGATATTAACTTAAAGTGGGATCAACATATTCTTTACCTGTGCAAGAAACTGCGATGAGATGCATAACACATAAATTTTATATATTGTGAAATATTATGTTAAAAAAAAATCTTGCTGTAATCTATGAGGTACTTGTGAAGCGCCTATTAATTTATGTTATACTAGAATGGGGCATACATCCAAAAGTATCAAAAGTATATATTGCGCACTTTACTGAGAAAACCAAGACTATATCCAACAAATATCTCGTGTTGAAAGGGTACACTTGAAATTAAGAGCTTCTATATACAAATGAAAAATTTTACAATTGTGTTTGTCACAATTACAACACGAGAGAAAATTTAAATCATTTATTTGATATTACATATGACGCAAACATTTTGTATCATATATCGGCCCAAAATTATGTAATAATATGTATAATACATGTCAATTTACGTAACATTAAAGAAAAAAAACGATTAAAAAATTGTTTTCAAGCTTTTGTCTGTCTCCTTTAATTTCTAATTACTAACTAATTACACTGTTCAAGATATCCTACAGTTCTCGATATTAGTATTGGGATGACTTTTGGTATGGTTTTTCTTCTGATAGAGTTTCAATGTTTGTAATGCTTTTATTGTGTCCTGGTTATTGTTATTTAAAATATTATCTAAACCTCTGTGACGACAGAAGTCTGGACAAAGGGTTATCTTTTCTTGTCAAAAAGTCATATACTAATAATAACTATAGTAACACATTTATTCTGCTGCATATTAAGATATTATAAATAGATAAATGGCAGAAAAATAGAAAATGGCAGATGAGTGCAATTAAAAATTGTTCAAAGTTCAACCCGTATAAAATGATACTAACAATCATTAATTCGCTTGAGTAACACATAATTTTAAAAAAATACTGTTGTATACAATTTAAACAAAAGAAAAAAATCAAAAATAGGCTAGAAAATCTCAAAACTAAACTTGACTAAACAATTCTTATCTTAATTTCCTTTAAAAAAGTAATCGTGATAGGACTTTTAAACAAAGAGGAATGGTATTGAAAAGTTTATAAATATCATCGGAAAAGCTTCTTTGCAAAAGAGACATCCTATGCGGTGGTGGAAAGATAAGACTCTTAAATCTAAAGTTTAACTTGTGAACATCTGTCCAATACGTTATTTTATTTGTGAAGTAAGGTGAACTGTTAATAAAAATAATGTTATGGACGTTTCAAACGATCCCTATTCTAACATAATAGATAATTTGGATTGATTAATTATCAATACGTGACGCGCTAAGAATTCAGTTAGTTCTTTTAAATCTTTACGAATACAGTACCTGATTATCATTAGCATAAAAGTATACCGTGACTTTTTCATATACGAGACAAAATTGCTGGTGTAAATTGTAAATGAAATATACCCCAGTAGAGGACCTTGCGGCACACCTCAACCAACAATTTCTCTAGCTAATTGATCAAGACTTATTCCGACATATTGTATTCGATCACTAAGATAACTTCTTATTAACATTTTGGTATTATACGGAAACCCGACAATAGATAACAGCAGTTCGTGTCATGCTTGCAAATAGTCCAAATGCACCAGAAAGGATGACTGACCTGAATCTAATGATTTTATAATCTCATATCGTTGAATTCTTTTATAGGAAACAAGACATATTTTTAGTTGTGTTGAAAAACGCCCTCTAGTGACAATTAAAAGCCATAATTACAATCGTCACATTTACCAAAATATTGATAGTCCAAGAAAGGATTTCTTCAAGTTCTTCAAAATGTTTAAATCCTTTAATTATCCATTATCTTTACTACCTGAAAAATTCTAGCAAAAATAATAGCCAGTATTTTGAAAACTGGCAAGTAAATTCCATTGTGTTCTCTTGTTCGCTTTAGTAATAATTTTTTTTTGAGATATAGCCAAAGTTTTTTCATAATTTTAAACTAAGTACCTTTTTAATCTGCCCGGTATATTCTTGTGCATATTGTGCATTTGGTTTGGCTGTATAGCAACCCAAGCCCGCGAGTTAATGTAAAAGCCCACACAACAAAAACGATTAAGGCAACGCAAGTGGAACATATAGCTCGCAATTGTATAACTGCCCATGCTTTTTTTGCGCGATAAAGTAGTCAACGTTGAACGAGAAATTGGGTGGGTATAAAAGTTCTCGACATGGTCGGTGGTAGCATCAGTCACCCATTGACAGCTCGACAATCGTTCCGCTAAACACTTAGAACCAACTTTTTAATTAAAATGAACTGCTTTTTGGTAAGTGCCTCTTTAAAAGTTGATATTATCAACATAAACGCGATTTCCTTTCAGGTTACTATGGTTGCTTTGATCGCCATCTCAGCCACGCTCGTTGTCGCTCACGAACACCATCATTTCGTAAGTTGGCTCCGTCATATTTAAACCAATTTAAATGTTACGCCACTCCTCCAGGTTCCGCACTACCACTTCGAATATGGGGTCCATGATCCACACACCCACGACGTCAAGGAGCAGCACGAACACCGAGATGGACACCACGTGCATGGAGGGTACACCATGAAAGAAGCGGACGGTACAAAGAGGGTGGTAGAGTACACATCCGGTCCCCACGAAGGCTTCCAAGCCGTCGTCAAGAGAATCGGCCATGCCCAGCATCCGGCCCATGGTCACGAGCATCCCACGAGCTACGTGGGAGTAACCCATTGGGGTCACGGATCTGGTCGTTAAAAGTGGGGCGGTTTAAAATTCGGTTGTTGTAAACTATTGAGGATGATTTGTTGAAAAATACACCCAATAAAAAAATAAATTTTTGGACGATATAATAGAAACATTTATAATTCCCACCCTTGCTTTAAAAGTGACGCAACTCGAAAATTGTCATTTCTGAGCTTTATTTCCAAACAACAAAAATCAAAACGCATGCAAACGGTATCCGCAAAAGCGCCTATTATGAATTTTCTCATCTTGGCAGGAATATTCGGATAGAGACTTGTCAAAGGTGTTTTGATTTGTGTCGTTTTTGATAAACTGTGAAAAGCAACGTAAGAGTATTTACAGTTACAACAGTTTTGATGAAATATAGTTTGAACTTTATTTGCAATATTTTTAATTGTGTCAACTTAGTGTCAGTTGATTATATTTGTTTCTTACTCATATTTGACTATTTTTTTATTAATTGATTTTTTTCATGAATCATTCAATAAGCAAAAGGGCTTTTGTCAGTGACACACGTTAAATTAAAGAAATTAAGAAAAAATTAAGAATTGGGTCAAAATTTTTATTTTAATAAAATACATTTTAACGCTAAAAGTTTGTTTTCAGACATGTTGAAACCATGAAGTCCCCAAGTCGTATGGGCAAAATCTTAAAAATTGCCTCAGAAAAATTTTTAAAAAATGCGGTATTATTAGATATTAAAAACATTAAGAACGTTCGAGCTAATATCACCTTCAATAATTTACCACCTTCTGACACTTTGCAAGTTTCTGATCAAATAGCTGAGGCAGAAAACTCTATTTGACTCTAGCTGTTTCTAATAAGATACCTTTGCTGGACCCAGATAGTTTAGAAAAAAAAAAACCTGAAACTTTAATTCTATCCCATAATAGCAGTGAAGGAAATCTTATACCTGAGCTCTTAGGTAAGTTAGTTAACTCGCTAATATAATATTTGTTTTCTCTCTTCACCTTCTAGAAGACGCTAGCAGAGGGATTTGTCAAAACAAATAAAAAGATGTATTAAAGCTTGCCCAATCTATGTTCCTGGACAATACGTGTTTGTGAAATTACCAATGAAAATTTCGATGAGACAATGAAAATTAATTTTTCTATAAAACTTCGTATGTAGATAATACGTTTAAGTCTGCAGACATGGTAAAAATAAAGAATACTAGATCGCAGAGTAATTTGGAGCCAATGTAGATGTCCAGTTAGCTCGGGAAAAAAATTACAAAAATATAATCCTAAAATCTAATTACAATTGTTTTTATGGAAATTTCGTAAAATATTTTTTCATTTTTTTATTTTTTCCGTCTAAAAAGTTTCAAATGTTTTTTTTTATGTTCCTTCAGATATTTATTGCGTTCATTAAGTTTAAAATGGTTTAAGCGGTTGATGTTGGCGTTATGTTTGTATCTATGATTTAATTGTTTGTATTTATAGTATTACCGACTGTTTAACTTAAAAAAAGTTGCAATTTGGCTTTTTAAGCACTACATTTTAAACAATTTCTGCAGTTAAATCCTTGTTAGCCTTTTGAATCACTTTTTATACTCATTTCTGCAAAATACCCAATTATACACAGATCGAGCGTGAGGAAAACGTCACTTTCCCACGTGAGTTTCATGTTGCATGCATCCGAGCCACTTCGGACATTTTCGGGATATTACCGAAAGAGTTTGGAAGAAAGTCATGTCAGTGAATGTATTCGTATTGTTTTGTAAAAATGTACTCAAAAACTAACGGTGGTAGAAAAAGTATAGTATGCAACTCGTTTGATGTGCCTAATTGCGAATAATAAGTTATAGTTTAGAAGCTGTTTTGGAGCAAGAATATATTGCTCTAGACAAGGAAAGATGGAATCGCTTGCGAAAGGGAAAAATTACAAGTACAAAAAAAAATAATTTTCTGAGAAAGTCTATCATTTCAAAAAATGATTATAGTTGAAATCGAATTTTACAAAAGTTTTGAAAAGCCCACAAAAATAAAATATTGGGAATCGGTAATCAGATATACAGGGTAATTTACAAAGAATGACCAATCTACACCAAAGTGTTATGAAATTGATCGAAATATTTTACTATTTTTACTATTTTACTATTACCAAAATTTTTGTTGTTAAATATTGTTTTTTTATTACTCTCCGTACCTTTTTATTTTTTAAGTATTTATAAAAAAATTGAAAAAATATGGTGTCTTAAATACGAATTTAAAACTCATCAAATTTTACTTGAAATTCCAAAAACAGTATGTCTCTTATCAGAATTTGGGTCCTTTGTTATTTGACATCTATATTAATGATATTAACTTATTCATCTCTCCATTCAAATGTGTACTGTATTGCGTAAATACCACAGGCTTAACCTCTGGGAAAAATAAAAAAGAGTTAAAAGAAAATTCTGACCAAATAGAAAAACCGGCAACTACCTGCTTTGAAAAAAAACGACTTACAACCAAACCTTGATAAAACCTCGCACCAATCCAGTAAATGATGGTTGTTCAGTTAGCTAACTTGGTAAGAACGTATTAAAAAATGAAAAAGCAAACTTAGTACAGGGCTTTTTGTCTTGCGAAAGCTTGAGAAATGGATTGATGTAAAATATCTAATCACTATTATTTGAGCTACTGCGTAATTTTGTGGGGCAGCTCTTGTCTGAAATTCACAAAATCATGAAAATATTGATTGATAATTGCTTTTATACTGTTGCCGAGTACATATATCAGACTAAATCGTAGAGAAAATTTTATTTATTATTTTTTTGCCGTTTTTTAAGTTGTCTGTATTCTTATTTGGGTTTTCGTTTTTATATTTTATCTCTGCATTTAAATGTACTGATCTACTAATTTAACCTATATTTGACGTTTTTTTTTACTTTTTACAATTACTTTATTGTAAAGCGTGCTTAACAAAATCTTGTACCTTGTGTCTTAAAAATGACAATTTTCATGAGCACACTATTAAAAGCAACGACTTTTGTATGAGGCACAATTGAGCTCAAACAGAACATTGTGGATTTTTAGTACCTCCAGTTCACAGATTGCCCATTGCCCATTTTTTATAATTTACCCAGTATATCTGAAGTTTCGACTAGCGCTTAACGATAGACGTTGGTCAGGAAGTCTGACTTGTTTTTCAAAAATTCCACCTTAAGTAAGAAACTCTGAGTTGTTTTTCAGAAATTCTTACGTATTCCTCAGAAATTGTGAAACAAAGAAAACAAAAATACGATTTAATTAATTTTAAATTTGAGTCTTCTCTAGTGATTGAAATCAAAATTCTGGTTAGCTGATATAAAAATCCTAAGATAAATGATAACTTAATTAATATTCTTACGTGTTTATTGAACCTAGCAAAAAAATATTATAAATAACTGACGAACGTAAATGTAGTCATTGCTGCCACATATGGATTTATTGTGACACCCATATATTAAAAAACAGAACGTGTCTTCCTTACTGTGGAATGAAGTATAAAATTTCGAAAATAGATGTATACATATCTATTCACCATGTGAGTAGAATGCTGACAAGGAAGACCATAAATGGATAGCGACTTTTTTCCACAACTAAAACAACCATTTCATGCAAAATAGATGATTTATTAGAAAGGCCGTACAAAACAAGTTACAAAAGAAAAACAAAAACAATTAACAGCTTTGGTAACAACTTTCAATCGTGATCTCGTTGACATGTCAACGTCCCGAGCCATGACCCCAGTGGGTGATACCGACGTAGCTGGTTCCACCAACACCTCCGTGTCCGTGACCGTGTTTACCGTAATGGGCCGGATGCTGGGCATGACCGATCCTCTTCACGACGGCTTGGAAACCTTCGTGGGGACCCGAGGTGTACTCTACTACTCTTTGGGTACCGTCGGCTTCCTTGAGGGTGTAGCCGCCCTTTACGTGATCACCTTCGCGATGTTCCTGCTGCTCCTTGATGTCGTGGGTGTGAGGATCGTGGACGCCGTATTCGAATTGGTAATGGGCTGGGGCCTTAAGTCAAGAATGGGTGATGAATTTGAGCAAAATTTGCAAAATTATATACACTTCCTGTATATCATCAGCAACTCAGATATCGAGAAACTACACTTCATATCTATACTTTGTGTTATAGAGTTTCACCAGAAATAATATTAGTTAGTAATCTTTCTGGAAGAATGTAAATAATCGTAACAATAGTGATAAGGAAGGCACCGAATGAAAAAAAAATCTTACGTGATGATCTTCGTAACCCCCATGGCCACCTTCACCACCACCGTATCCATGGCCGCCATATCCACCGCCGTATCCACCTCCATAGAATCCATGGTCAGCCATACAGGCACCAATGGCAATGAAAGCTACGAATGCGGACTGAAACAAAATAGGCTATAAATCATTCAATTTCTAGTAAACTATACGCCACATCTTCATTTGAGGAGTTTATAGTTTTATTTAGTAAATATAAATGTCAATGGATAAGCGCAGAGGATTCAGACAAACTAATTTGCAGAAGTATAAAGAAACACAGTGTATTATCAGACGCAAAATTACGGCAGCTACGGAGTCCTGGATGAAGGTGAAGTGGCAGGAGATGGAGGAACTTATTACAAAACACAACGCATTCAACATTCACAAAAAAAAAATTACCGGAAGCAGGAAACAACAGCCCCACATAAAAATCTTAGATGAAGAAGGCAAGCTGGCAACCAACCACGAAAAAGAAGAAGAAGTCTGGGTGAAATATGTATCAGACATTTCAGATCCAACTAGAACAAGGACCAGAAATAGTCGCGGCCGGATTTGAAAAAGTCTTAGATGGTCTTAAAACCCGGAAAGCAACTGGCCCAGATAATGTCTATCCAGAATTAATTAAGCTTATCAACAAAGAAAACTTAGAAATTGTAGTCCAGTTCTTTAACAGCATTTACAAAACGGGGGTTATGAAACAAGACTGGATGAAGTCGACCTTCATTCCCATCCCAAAGAAACCTGGAGCAAAAAAGTGCGACGAGTTCCGCATGATCAGTCTGATGAGCCAGATGTTAAAATTATTCCTAAAAGTCCTGCACAATCGTATAAAAAGAAAATGCGATCAAGATATAACTGAGGAGCGGATGGGTTTTCGGGAAGGGCTTGGAACCCGTGACGTGTTGTTTGCGCTGTCGATCTGCAAAAATGTAGGGACCAACACAAGGATATATATTTGTGTTTATAGATTACACAAAAGCCTTCGACTGTGTCAAGCACAGAGACTTGCTAGAAATACTTGAGAGTAAAGGCATTGACTCACAAGATATGAAGATCATACAGAACTTGTACGAACACCAAGTAGCCTCAATAAAACTCGACAGCCACGAAATGAAAACAGTACCTATTAAACGTGGAGTAAGACAGGAATGCATGCTTAGCCCAATGTTGTTTAATATGTACTCCGAAGCAATATTTCAGCAAGCATTGAGAGAAGTGGAAGACGGCATTAGAGTTAACGGAAGACTAATAAATAACTTAAGGTATGTGGACGACACCGTTATAATTGCTGACAGTTCCGAAGGTCTTCAAAATCTAATAAATAAAATAACAACGGTAAGTGACCGCACGGGGCTACAAATAAATACAAACAAGACAAAAATGATGGTAATAAGCCGAAACCCGAACCAGCCTTTGGACATAAGAATACTCGAATACTCGGGGCAGTTATATCAAAAGTGCAGAAATTTAGATATTTAGATAATAAAGGGAATCCGTGAGTCCAAAAATGGCGAAAATGGAAATCTGCCAAGGTGGGATTGACGGAAATTGAATTCTGAGTAATTAGGACTCGGAACTCTGTGACAATAACAACTGTATATACTACGATGAGAATACTAGAGATACGAAACCTGTTAAGTAAAAGCAAGAAAATTCCGATTAGTTCCGGAGATATCCGAAAACCGGAAATCAGCAATTTCTTTTGAATTTTTTCGTGGAGTTAATTAAAAAATTTTTTGAAAACGAATGACACTTTCTCATTAAGCTTTATCTATAATGTAACCTAATGTCAGCCAATAAAGGATTTATGTCAAATAACCTTAACATAGTTGTTAAGCATTAAGAGTTACTTTTTACCGTTGTATGTAATTATAGATTTTGTAGTCAGAAAGGTGTTTTGGTTAATTTTATTTAGTTTTAGGGACTTCTTAATGTTATATTTTCAATATTAATTTGAATTAATTTTGTTCTCAATTGTGTCCTTGTTGTTTTGCGGTAATTTTTTTTTTAATATTAATTTTCAAAACTTCATCTTTTGTTTATGTAATAATTAGTTACCAAAAGCATTTGTTGTGTAACTTTGGCTCCATTGTGAATTTTGGAACGTTATTTTTTAATAAATTAAGTGTGATAAACGCATTTTTTCATAATGACGAGCTCATTCAAAATTTTAAATAAAAAGTACAGGTCTGCCTTTAAAAAAGCGAAAACCTAAACGTCATACTTAAAATCTAATAATATCATTTTGAAGGGAAGAAAAATTGGAAAAAGAGAAAGTGCTATTCGTTTGCAATTTTCATTTCAATCTCCAGAAATATCCGAATTTTCCGGATTTTGAAACAATTTTACGTTAATCACTAAAATGCGCCACTTTGCCTCTATACTCTATATAACTGACTATACCTTTCTAGCATGGAATCACTGAAAAAAGATTTGGACAGAAAACCCTTAAGGCTAAAAGACAATAAAAATACTCCTCCCACAGTAAATGTAACTGTTTGAAAACAAAATTGATGGCTTTTGATTGCAGATATTAAAAATTCCTATCCAGAAAAATTTAATTGCTTAATTCAGTCAATTGAAGAAGCTCCACCATCCAGAAATGTTGTTGAAAATTTCTGATGTATCAGCTGACCACTACCCAATAAAAACCAATTACGACAGATGACAGCTAAGCACTGGCTCTGATGTTGTGAAATTTGTCTATCTATCTAGAAGTGAGAACTTACCGACAAAGGGTTCATTGTGGCTACTTGAAAGCTGCTTGGCAACTGATACCGTTTCGAGGCGTCCGTATCAGTTTTATATGAAAAGTAAGGGGGTCCCTTAACGTGACGTGTCAAATTGAAAAACAAATTGATAGTTGTGCAAAAGCGGCGTGTGCCAACAGATTTACACATTACCTTCGGCACGAGAAACCGTAGGACACTTCGTATGGTTCACTGAAAGCAACGTTCGGCAGAAAAAAAAATTAAACGGACATTGCAAAATGAGATTATAAATTTTTATCGATTTTTTGAGCAATCCGGTGTCGCGTGGCGGTAATCGCCTAAGGTCTTTCTAATTGAACAATAGCTAATTAGTCACGGCCTGGTTGGCGCTTAAGTGGAAGAAAAAATATCGGTTCTCTCCCCTAGTTTCGGACGCTTGCCGCTCAAAACTACACAGTCCACAATCATTTTTAGGAAAAGTCTGTTCATAGATATAAGAAAGTGGAGGAAAGACCCGAGCAAACTGTAAGAATGAAATATGGCCGAACAGGTCCGTACTCTGCTTAGAATTTAATTATTTGGGCTTTTGTTAGGAAAGATACTAAACAATATTTATTTGAAATGAAATTACAAATTATTTTACTTAAATTACTTAAAATTCATCACATGATATATCAGTATCACTATCGCTATCATCGCCTGTTCTAATTATTATTTGTATTATTTGCAATATGGATATGCGATTGTTGTGCTTGTTCTATATGTTTAACAGAATTTGCCCAACTTTGTGGAGGGATGTTAAAAACGTATTATATCTTGATCACTTTCATCCACACTCGAGAAAATGTCATCATCGCTTCTTTTTTTCCTCGCTGAAATGGGATTATTCACAATTTTCCATACAGTTGATGTTGGAATGTTCGTCAATGTGGCAGTTTCTTCTAAAGATGCTTACTTGCTGGCACCACTTTCAATGAGAGTCAAATAAACATTGTTTATAACTTCCTTAGTATCAATACAATAGTGTTTTTTACAGTTGGGCGAGAGCATCTCCTCAGATACACTAGACTCGCACATATTTTCCATAATTCGCACACGCTGTATTACACACGAAATAAGAATGATTACTAATGAACTTAAACTAAGTAGTACACCAAACCAAAGAATATAAAAGGTATAAAATTATTTTCTATTACGGACCACAACTTTACCTGAATTTAAATTCCGAAACTTTAGGTAATAATCTTGTTGCATTTTATGTTAATGACCACCCTTGGATAATCCCATTCAAAAGCAATTAGTCACTTTCTTATATCTATGAACAGACCATACCTATATTTATAATGATACGAAGGCGATTCAAAAAAAATCCAAATGTGTGTTACAACTACAAACAAAATAATTAATTTTTAAGTGCCTAAATAGGGACTCCCCTCTACATTTTATAGCAAAGTTGTAGATCAGTTGTTGAATTAAATAAGAAGGCAAATTTAGAATATTTTTATAGTTTAGGTAATAAATCAAACACCTGTAAAATGCATTTTTATAATGACAACAGGAAAATTCGTGACGCTAACTAAATATATATATATATATATATATATATATATATATATATATATATATATATATATATATATATATATATATATATATATATATATATATATATATATATATATATATATATATATATATATATATGATGACACTATATTCCGGGATATCATCCGTTCGCTCGTTGAACTCCGACTGGAATCCTGCATCCGAGTGTTCGAAGTGTTTTCCGAGCGCGAGCATTGAAGATGCCAAGTGAGATTTTGGCGAAACGTCTGCAGGATTCCAGTCGGATGCAGGATTTGCAGGATTCCAGTCGGATGCAGGATTCCAGTCGGAGTTCAACGAGCGAACGGATGATATCCCGGAATATAGTGTCATCATATTTTTCCATCCGTGAATCAATACGTGAGAATATATATATATATATATATATATATATATATATATATATATATATATATATATATATATATATATATATATATATATATATATATATATATATATATATATATATATATATATATATATATATATATATATATACAAACAAACTGTTAATTATTAGGATCACCCCAACTTCGATGGATCGCCGTAAAGTGAGCAATAAAAGATGTTGAAGCTCAAAGCAAAGTGGCAATTTATTGTAATATCTAGCTTTCGCCCATGGATACGGGCTTCATCAGGACACTAAGTCATATAGAGAACAAAAAAAAAACACTTCATCAGAGTTAACAATCTAACCAAAAAATAGTGAAAAAAACTTACACAACACGCCTCTTTCAACCTCTACATATAGAGAGATGACATTGGTATATAAAATAAAGTGTTTCGCCCGTTCTAACTATCAACATAACACTCGATGGATGAAATTTATGGAAAAAATTTACAATTGTAAAAAAAATTAACATCCACCACAACGTTACAAAACAAATCCACTAACATAAAACGTTAAGGTCAATAAAATATCCGGATTGATAAAATATTAAAAGATTTAAAAAACAGCCGATTTGTTGCAAATGACACTCCGTATTGTCGAGAAGGAAAACTAAATGTGCGGGAACTTATTAACAATTCGCAAACAACCTAAAAAAAAAAAAGCCACAACCAAAAAAAAAAAAAAAACAGTCAATGATACCAACTGTACAGCCAACCATAACATATGTAAAACACCGAACAAGGGAGGGAATTTCAAACAGAATTCTTTCAAATATGCACCCATTGTACACTATTTATATGTTTACATTATTGAAGTTAACGTTAAGGGTAATTAGAAACAATCCTTTAGGAACGGGGAGAAAGAAACAAAGAAAAGAAACTATTTTTAAACATTAATAGCAACAAATTTAGCAACCCACTACAACCTGACAGTATCAAAAAACTCTGGTAGCTTATGCTTCGCAGTACGACTCTGATTAAGAAGATAGGTGTAGATGCTACTAAGACCCTCAACATCCTTCTTTCTGTTGAGGCTATTACTACAACAGTTAATATAACACATCTCTAAAAACTTACGTTTGAAGAGGTTCTTTTCACTCTTTAATACTACCGCTTTATCGTACATGACACTATGTCCGGTATCATTGACATGAGCACTTAAACTAGTAATATTTGGTTTTAACTTACAATCACTTTTATGAAGTGTTAGCCGTTTTTTTAACTTCTGTGAAGTATGACCAATGTAAATTAAATTGCAAGAGCATTTAATGCAATATACAACATCTGATTTATGTAACGATGGGGTAATGTCTTTAAGATTGGAATAGAAAGATTTGAGGGGTCTTAAGTTGTAATTGGCAATTTTTATATTAGTATCTTTAAAGATCCTAATCAGAGCCGGGGACAATCTATCTATATACTGTAGTTTGCCAAAACTAGGCAACTCATTATTAACATTAAGCTGTGGTTGTAAAGCATTAGGCAGGTCTGTAGTGGCTCTATTACAGGAGAGAATTTTATTTATTAACGAAGGTGGGTATTTATTATTAATTAGTAGGTTCCTTAATAACAATAAGTTCTTATTTACCAGACTATGATGACAAATTTTTTTAATGCGATCAGTCAATGCTACAATCATATTGATCTTTTGCTTTTTAGGGTGATACGATGTGAAGGGAATGTATCTACCGGAACTAGTAACTTTTCTATGCCAATCAAGAATAACTAAATTTTCACTAGTGCGAATGACCTTTGTGTCAAGGAAAGGGACTGAACGATCTGTCTCCGTCTCCACCGTGAAAGTGAGATCGGAATGAAAGGAATTGAAAATTTCAAGTGTGGATTCGATGAGGTTAAGTGGAACTGCTGTTAATAGATCATCCACATATTGATATATGAAGGGGAATTCAAAACTAACTCTGTCTATCACATAATAAAGTAATTTGTTCATAACAATCTCAGCAATCACAGGGGAGGCCGCACCCCCCATAGGAAGGCCCTTCACTTGTTGGTAGAATTTTCCATCAAATGAGAAAAAAGTATTATTATATAGAAAAGTTACCGTATTATATAGAAAAGTTACCGTATCCAAAAACTGTAGGTGCGTAATGCGTAATGCGTAAGTGGTATTATGCAGGACAAAGTCTTAGAGCAGTGTCTGAAATGTTTTCAGTTTATTTTCCTGCTAAAACTGTACCTCGAATTTCAACAATACGTTTATTGTTACCCAATTCGAGTCCAAAAGCGCCGTAATAAATAACTGCAAATGTTCAACTGAAGATGTCGATAACGAAGCAGAAGAAACGGACAATAAAGATTTGACCATTTTACTGCATGTGGAGGAAAACAAAATGATTAGCACGAAAAGATCAACAAATAAATGTTATGGTGGGAATTGGCGGACATCATATTATTGGGCCATTTTTTATAGACCATAACCAAAAGGCAGAAACCTATATGAACTTACTACGAACTCAAATTGAACCCGCACTGCAACAAGTTGTTCGCGAAGATCAGGAGTTCCGCCCATAATTGCCGTATTTCTTTCCGTCGGGTCACTTGAAAAATGTTATCTATAAAAATGTTAAATTTGACAATCTATTTTCTTGGAATGTCGGGATATCACAATACCAACTAAGCAATGTTATAAATGAATTTTATGATCGTTGTGTTGTTATACGGTGCTGAAACTTGGACTCTCAAGGCCAATGCGATTAATCATCTGGAAGCATTCGAGATGTGGTTGCATAGAAGAATGCTCCGAATACAATGGATCGCCCTACAGACCAACGAAGCAGTTTTAAATAGAGCAAGTGCCGTCCGTGAGTTATTTAACACAATCAAAATACGAAAAATATCGTACCTGGGGCATGTTCTTAGAGGAGACCGCTACAAAATCCTTCAACTTATAATGAAAGGCAAAATCGAAGGTCGCAGAGGTGTTGGAAGGAAACAAATGTCATGGCTAAAGAACATCCGCGATTGGACCGGAATACGCAGTGCCGAACAACTATTCAGATTAGCCGAAGACCGTGATCAACTCGCCAATGTGATTGCCAAAGTTAGGGGGACCTGATATGGCACCGAAAGAAGAAGAAAAAGAAGAAGATCGTTAAGGATATTGTTCAACTGTTAGTGGTGGACTGTTTAAACATCTACTTAAAAAATAATGTTTCTTTTTAGCAATGTTTTGAGGCCGTATTTTTATTACAATTAATAATTATTTTTATAAAAAACTTGAGGGTCAAGTTTATAGTCGTCACTTGAAGCTTCTTTGTTGCTTAAACCATTCTTAAAATCAAATTCATTCAAAGAACGCTTTAAGCGACAAGGAAGTCTTAAGAACCGAGTATCAGTTTGATCTTAAGAAAAATACATACCTACATACTTAGTTTATTTTGAATGTGTTTATTGTAAGTGTAAAAAATTTTTTTCTGGTATTTGTCGTATTGACGTTTTGCAATTTAATGCAATGACTGAATATTGGCTTATTTAAATTTATTTAAACTCGGCACATGAGTTTACAACTTTGCTATAAAATGTGCAGATGATCCAACATTTGTGCACCTACAAATTTACGGCAATGTAAATGCAAATCTTGCATTAAAAAAAACTGGAAAAAATTGGTTTGTGGTGACTAATCTTTCGATGTGAATATATAATAAATAAATAAATATAGCTTTATTGTTACTAATAACAAATTTTCTAAATTTTATCCCTAATTAAATTTGGCAGCAAAGGCCTAAAAAAATCTGGCACAACCAGATACTGTTATAGTATAAAATTAACAGACACATGGAGACAGACAACGTTTGGGGTAGGGTAAGAACGAATTAGGGGCAAGGAAGTATCTAAGTAAAGGTTTGATTGGGTAGAAGCGGAAATGAAATCTTGCCAGCATGCATTTTGCTTATCCAAATTTTAATTTATAAAATTATTTTTTAGGGTCCATAGCAACAAAGAAAAGCCTATTAAGGAAGCCTATTGATTAATCATATTTGCAATTTTTTATGACAAGGACTCTTTTATGTGGACTTTTTTTGGATGCTGAGGTACAAGTAAGGAGACGCTGTATATAAAGATTCAAATTATGAACATCCGCGCGATATCTAATTTTGTTGTACCGTAGTGTCGCACATTGAATGATTTTGCAGTAGAATAACAGGGCGTCAAGTTTATGTCAACAAACCAACCTGGCCTAACTAGATATGGTGAAACATGAGCTGTACATCCATATATCAGTCTAAGACCCCAGTTTTGGTTAGTTTTTGAATACGATACTTCTCTAGATTATTTAGACAAGGCATGAATACACTATTACAAGTATTTGCTCGTGACGTACTCTCTAAATTTTAGCCCAGAGTCTAGAGTAAGTTCTAAACTTTCAACTGCTAGAAAAAGGCAAAACAGAGTTCTTTAAAGAGAATTTACGTTGCTTTTAATATTATCAATTTGTTTGTCATTTCCAATATCATCACTGCGGATTTATTAGGATTAACTAGGAGCATATCGAGTGACAGAATTGTAAAACCTACTCAAATTAGAATTAGCATTGTTACTTGCTTTGTTAAGCTACTTCTCTGAAAAAGAAAATCACAGAACTGTAATAACGTTGTTAACCTGGACTTAAAAATCACAAACAGAGGTGGACCTAAAATACTACCCTAGGGTACTCCATTCTTAACAACTAAAAGTCTAGAGATTGGTTCATTAAGTATCACTTTTTGTGTCGTCTAAGGGGATGATACGAATTTAAAAGACAGTTCACTGGGACGCAGAATTTATTGTCAAGGACTTCGCTAAAATCAAATAAAACCAAGGCAGTAATTTATCCTTAAGAATATCATCTATTATAAGATCAAGAGCGCTTTCTCTCAGCTATAATCAGATCTAAAACCCGATTATTTCGGTGGTGAAATCCTGTAAATATTGAGAAATTTTCTTATTTGCTTCTCCGTTGTTGCCTGTAGAATCTTAGAGAGTGTAGGCAAAATACTAATAGAATGCAATTGATCAAACTCTGTAGGTTTTTAGGTTTTAAACTTGAACTGTTGTTGTCTTTATGAAAAAAGTTCTGGGTTTGCCAAATTGCTAGAGGGAGTGGAACTTATAAAAAAATTTAATTGCATCCGCATTATTAAGAATAAGAGTTTTTTTTTTCAATAGTATGTTATGCAACAAGTGCAAGTGCGATTATTAAAAACTCGCGCCGCTGCACTCCGCTCTTATCAAATAAACTCGTGAGTCAAATGCTGTTTACCGAACGTGTTGCATACTATACTTTTTCTACGACCGTTAATTTTTGGGTGCATTCTTGCAAAACAACATAAATACATTCACTGACATGACCGTCAGATTTGACAAACGTCAAAATTCAAAGCGTGGAAAATATCTCCGGAAACATCCGATTGCTCCCAAATCCATGCGGTAAAATCCCGGAAATCTCTGAAGTGGCTCGGATTCATGGGAAACGAAACTGATGTGGTAAAGTGACGCTTCCCGCACGCTAGATCGGTGGGTAATTAGGTATTTTACAGACGGATCCGAGCCACTTTGGACATTTCCAGGATTTTAGCGCCCGGGTTTGGGAGCAATCGTATGTTTTCGGAGATATTTCCCACGTTTTGAATTTTGACGTTTGTCAATTCTGGGGTTCATGTCAGTGAATGTATTTGTGTTGTTATGCGAAAATGTACCCAAAAACTAACGGTCGTAGAAAAAGTATATTAAAAATTTTTGGCCTAATAAACACATTTATAACATAAGACAAATCAAAATTGGCGAGTGGATCAATAAAAGATATTTTTTCGTACTATTGTAAAACAAATGTGAAATTGTGGACATAGCACAAATTGTTCACTTATTATTATTATATATCTAAGCTTTGACATATGTTAGAAACTGACTAGTCTCCAATTAAAAGGGCTTTTTTATTCAATAAAAATAAACACATATTTAAAAGCGTTTTGAATAATTAGAATCTGAAATTGGAAGGCACTTTATTGATATTAATATTGTTTTTCGTATTTACTACAAGAAATATGAAGTTCATTTCGATTTCAAAAATGGAAAACATGGCGATTTAAATTAAATCATTTGCATCCCTTATGACATACCTACAAAATTAGACTGCGTTTAAAATTTCTTTTATAAGACAATTCTAATATATCATTTACCTATATAAAAATGGTGTCGAAAACAAAGTTGTTGTGGAATATTAGGAATTCTGTCATTCAAAATACTGAAACACTCCCTTAATGCAAATTTTAAAACAATTATAAAATAAATTTAACTCAACCTCAAATAGTTTTGTAAATATTGATTTATAACCATGTTTAAATATTTTTCATACGAAGCCTTTAGAAACGTTTTGTTAATCAGTCTCATCAACAACTATAAGGCACTTTAATAAAATATATTAGTTTCTAAAGCATGTTTGCTCTTAAATGAAGTAACAATAAAGCAAATATATAACTATTTAGTCGCTTAACAAAATTTATGTGCTTTTTAGGATAAGAATTTTGTGCAACTCTTGAAATAAGAAAGTTGACAGCAACTTCCGGTTGAACCGTAAGTAACAAGGTGTTGAAAATATTTTTAAAACAAGCGCACTTGGCTTGGCACTTGACCCCGAAAATTAAAAGGCGTTTCGAAATAAAAATACCTTTTTAAATCTATTTTTCCCTCAAACCTTCTATTTCTCTTTTCTTTATCAGCTTTATAATAGCTTCTTATACAGAATAAAATGTTATATGGAGGAAAAAAATTAACAGAAAGTGAAACAAATTAAAGATACCGAAAACGATCTTCGCGTGTTCCTAAAAAAAGAAAAAACGTTTAAAGTAAAACACCAAATTTATTATACACAATATCGCCCCGAAACACACGAAATACCCTACTAATTCCCTTCGGGCCGTCTTAAAAATCCGCCACGCCGAAGACTCCTTTAATTAGGCCCCTCTTCATCCTCCCTTCATGCCCTCAACCCTTGGACGGCACCTTATAAAAAGCCGCCCAGGTAGAGCGGCCCATCAAACCAAATTCGACCATCGCGCAGAGTTAACGGTGCCGACGGGATGGAATCTTACGACCCCCAAACGACCTTCGCGTATTTCCGAACGCACCAGGATACCTGGAGCGCGTCGCCTCCGTCCGGTTACGAGAGCAACTCCGAAGATGCTTTCCAAACAAGTCCGTGCGGCGGCAAGATCCGCGTCTCGCCCCAGGTGCTTCGTCAAAGACGTCTGGCCGCCAACGCGAGAGAGCGGAGGAGAATGCAACACTTGAACCAGGCGTTCGATAGGCTGAGGACGTTCCTACCTCAGCTGGGCCAGGACAGGCAGCTCAGCAAGTACGAGACTTTGCAGATGGCGCAAACGTACATCACGGCACTCTACGACCTCCTGGATGGAGCGTCGAACCGTTGAACGACAACGTTTGAGGACAAGAGTGAAATGCCAAAGATTTATTATGGACGCTTTGTTACGTGATCAAATATTTATTAAGTCTTAAGAGGTCGTTATGGCATAGTTAGATGTTCGTACTATTAGTTAGGATTTAATTAATAAATTATTACGCCGTGGATTTTTGTTATTTTCCAAGTCCTTGGTTTTTCAATTTCAAGTATTAAGAAATAGAAAAAATATTTTAATTTAAAATCAATCAAAATTAAAACAACGTTTAATAATAGTTTAAGTCTCCGCCGAACAAGAAAATAATAATAATAAGATTGGAATAGCCGAAATTGATATAAGGAAGCAGAAAAATAACGTCAACATACATTCACAAGGCAAAACCTACCCAATTTGTTTGACTGTTTGCTTTAGGGTAGATTTCGAACGTTAATTCTCATTATGACCATACTTTCGTAAGTAATCTAATTTTAAGTTCGCTGCGAAATAAGGGTATTTAAACAAATAACTAAACATATTAGTATTTTTTTTGTTTAAACAGATATCACAGTTTCCACGTATCATTTCTTAAAATAAATAGAGGATAACATTTATTTAGGGCAGTATTTTAAGAGTGATTTGCTTCAATGGTGCAACAATACAAAAAGCGCTTATATACGGATTAGTATATCAGAACTTTAACGGTCGATAGTACTTTGAAAATCACATGAATGTAAATCCACAAATACTTAGATAAGAAAAACACTTACAATTTTAAGAAATACAATCTTTACAATCGACTTAACTATTTCTTGGGAACAAAGTTATGCACCAAATTTTTTTTTTTCACAATTTGGTAATCTTTAAAAAAAAATCTGCATTTCAGACTAGTCTCAACTTTATTTTCGCAGAAATACAAAAAGCGCTAGTATAGGGTGTATATGCTTTAGTATATCACGTTAACTGTTGATAGTACTCTTAAAATCAGCAAAAGTTCGCATAAAATATAGGTCAACATATACTTCGACTTGACTTTAGACATTTCAAATAATTAAGTAACAATTCCAAATAAGCAAAAATAATTATAATTTTTAGAACTAAAATTTTTACAATAACCATTGGCGTAGATGCGGGACAGCGCCTCGTGTTTATTAGGAACAAAATTGTGGGCCATTGATTTTTTAAAAAATTGGTATTGTTCTAAGTTTAAAAAAAATAGTTTTTCTGCGTACTCACTAATAATCTAAGTTTTATGTGCGAAGAGGAAAATTATAAGGGGTGTTTCAAAACTTATGGGGGGGAGGGGGATGATTCCTTGTTTAAAATAGAAGATAGTTTGTTATATAAACTTAAAAAATAAAATTTAGTAGAGGAATTTGTTAAAAACAATTTTTATTCTGCAATTTATTCATAAAACTGTTTTCAAATACAAAGAAAATAAATAAATAAAAAAATTTAAAAAACATTTATGAATTACCTTCTAAACTGTAACATTTTAAAAACAGTTTTTAAGTGACATTTCTGAAACCAATTGATCTATTCATGCATATTTCCGCATAATCGAATTACATTTGTCCTATTGTGACTAACCGAGCTATGTCTAATAAAGCAATAATAACAAGAATAAAACAATAAACAATAAAACAAACATCAAATGACAGCACCGAAATATTTTTTTTACGAGTTTTATTTAAATCAATTTCCCCACACTAAACGAAAAGATACATTTCCAGAAAAGGAATCGCATGTTATCATCAAAAGGGAATAAGATATTATTACTATTTATTACCACCGTTATTATTAATTAAATCTGTGATTATTAGAGTCACAAGTCGGCTTCGTCGAAAAATTAAAATTAAATATAGAGTATGTACTATAAGTACATTTAATAAAATACACGATTTAAAGTTATTAACCTTTATTTAGGGGTTTTAATTTTTTTCCTTATTTCTTTCTATAAATCAAATTGGACAAAATGAATAAAAATACCTCCCCAAGAAGAATAAGATATAATCACCACCAAATTGACTTCATTAAATTATATTTTAAAATAGGATTTACTGTTACTGTTATTATTAATTCAATCGTTGAGTATCACCAGCTCCGTGGAAAAACAAAAATTAATTATAATATACTTACCTCTAATAAAACGTACTTTTTAAAATCATTAACGTTTATTTTGGATTTTTTTTTCGTTTTGTTATTAAAAAGAAGTACCCTTCCGAGGAAGATGATTGATGGTAGAATTATCATTAACTAAATCTGGAAGTATCAGAGTGGAAAAACCAAAATTCAATATGAAATACTACCCCCAATAAAAAGCGAGTTGTAAAATTACTCCCATTTATTTTCGTACTTTACAAATAGGCATTACTATGACACAAAAATTTGGCACCGTGCTGTAAACGCATATATACATGACTATCGACGCTATATTTACAGTCAGTTAAACCTAAGAAATAATACTGAAATTTTAAACGTAAAATTAACTTAAGGGCGCAAAAATATCATCGACAAGCGTAAGAATAGTAAAATAATGAACAACTTACTGCTATAATACGCAATAAAATCACTTTAAAACTTGAACAACCGTCTCTCCCACTGACATAAACATCTTTGGCTTAACGAAATGCGTCAAAGTCTCCGAATTCACCTGGGGCTCTGATCCAAAAGGTCGTACAGCGCAGAGATGTACGTCTGAGCCATCTGCAACGTCTCATACTTGCTGAGCTGCCTGTCCTGGCCCAGCTGAGGCAGGAACGTCCTCAGCCTGTCAAACGCCTGGTTTAGATTCTGCATCCTGCGTCTTTCGCGGGCATTCGCGGCCAATCTCCTCCGTCGAAGGATCTGGGGCGACACTCTGCCTTTGCTCGCGGTTCTAGAACCTGGAGATTGTTGGAATCCCTCTTCGGAGAGGCTATCATAACTCGACGCCGGTGACGACGCCCAACAATCTTGCGGCAAAGTCGTTTCGAGCGGTACCGGCTGCTGGTAGTACAGGTACCCGACGTAGGGTTCGGGGTTCTCCATGGGCACTGTGATACACCGAACGCGCAGGGTCGTGGTTTGAAGAAGCGCACATACCGGCCCACGCTTTTATAGGGCCGAGAGGGGTCGTTTTGGCGCGTGCCGAAGGACCAATGGGAAGCAGGGACGACAAGGAGCCCTCGAGGACGGGCCAATCGCGAACGTAGAAGGGCAAAGGAGCGCGGTAGTGCAAGTTCGATTCGGAGACGGATTTTCGGCAACAAGAGGGGTCCGGTTTATCGAAAAAAAGAATGTGCCAGGTAAGGGGGAGCGTTGAACGTCATGTCGCAAACGGATTAAAGTTTTGGTGAGGCCAGAGCAATCCTGGAAATAAATTTTTCCATTCATTTGAGTAAAATTAAAAAAAAAAAGAAGATAAATAAAGACAAGTGAAGACTATTTATTATTTTAAACAACTTTCAGGAGCCAACCATTTGTCTACGTTTTTATATTTCCTTTTTTTTTGGAAGAAGCAGCGTATAAATAGAACGTTATGATTACTCCCTACGTTTTACCTTATTGTAAGGATATATTAGAAGTATAGTCCAGCATACGATAAATGATTATGCCTTGCCTGGCCTATCATAAACGGAAGACGCTTTATCCTAGAAAAGACATCAGTCAACATATACTCGAAAATAACTGAGACTTTATATTTTTCAATGTTAAATCTGTCCGCAGGTCCTCTACAAACGTCAGAGGGAATGAAAGGTGCCACTGAGATGACAGTGGAGTGAACTAGCTCAACTAGCCCGCTGGCTTACCTAGGTGAACCTTGCAACATTTCTTGATAACGATTCGCTAGAAAGGCAAGTACGATGTGACAAAGCCATAATGAAAGTGCTCAGGAATTAGACTGGGAGTAATCAGATTCCATCACTTAAATCGCTGCAACCGAAATTAAAACAACTCAAATTCATCAATTCCGCCTAGAAAAACGAAAAATATGTTGTTTAAAAAGAGACTTTGTTCGACACTCGGGACACACTAAAAAAATAGTGGCAAAAATCGTCATCGATGTGTATTTTGAATGTACCTGGGGTCTCAATAAGTATGAGACCGAGGAAAAAAAAATATATACCAAAGTGTTTGATTCTAAGTATATATTTCATTTATAGTATTTCTATGCAAACAGGATATTCCGTTGTACCAGGATACTAACCAAATTTATTTTTAAAAATTCTTGATTTTGAGTAGTTTTTGTGAAAAATGAACTTTTACATTTTTTGGGGAACAATGTGTTTTTAACGCTTAAAAACTAAAACTGGGAATTTTTATTAGTCCGCCCAGTTTGTCGCAACATACGGCGTGCCTCAGGGTTCTAATCTTCGACCATTATTGTTTTCGATGTTTTGCCAACGACCTGTCTGATAAAATTAAGTGTGACTTTCTACTGTTTGCAGATGATTTAAAAATGTATTTGTTCCTACAACACCAGCTCTCCAATGTTTAGTGGTGTAAACAAAATAATCTTACCCTCAACATCTGAAAGTGTTCATACATCCGAAATCTTCAAACTTTCTTATTTTTCTACAAATTAAATAACACTACTTTACCCAGAAGTAGCTCTATTAGAGACTTGGGTATGACTTTCGATTAACAGCTTTCGTTTGGTTTTCTCTTAAATTACTTGAATTTTTTACAGAAGTCTTGTTTAACATTCATCTAACTGCCTAATTTATATGTATATTATGGTGTTATTGTATTTTTCTTTTTCTATTTTTGTTTCCCCTTCTCGTTTTTTGATTGTGTACGTGCCACAGTGTGCTTTTTCCAGTTTCATCAAAATTTTTATTTTCACTTGGACAATTAAAAATAATATAAAGCGGGCAGAATGACAAGTAAAATTAGAAATTTTGCCAAGGATAAAGGTATCGTTCTAAATGGTGGTGCCAAAGCTTGAACCCGAATTAGAGCTGTGGACATAGGAAATTGGGTACGTGACTTGGCGTTTTTCTCGTAACATCAATATGCTTCTAAGTTGTATTAGCGATAGGAGCGCCAAAACTTTTTTTATGCGAACCATTAAATCGGCATTTCCTACACATCCGCGGCTTCAATTCTTCCACGATATATAACAAAAAACACTTCCTGTGAGAGTTTCCTATGTATAGTATTGAGCTATACGATTTCATGTTGCCGATCACGAGTAAAATACTTCAAGACTATGGCGAAACTCCTTTAATAAATCATGATAATATATATCTTTTATACTCAGTTTTTGCAAATTTTCTTGTAACTAACGAACTAACCAAAAAAGAGAAAAAGTTAATACAAAATTTAACCATTGATAAGCATTGTAGTGTGAGACTCTCTGATGAGTTGTGCAATCCATGTTTGCCCACTTTACAGCCCTTAGCTGCTTCTTTTGCAGACCCCACATAAATTATCGTATCACTTAGAATTTCGTACCTACGAGGTTTGTATTTTTGTTATTAGGTGTGCAAAAAGTATTTGTAAACATAAAATAATAAAGGAACAAAAAGAAAAATTTGTTGTGCAGAATTTTCGTGAAGGCTCTGCTATGGGTGGGGAGACTTACCTTATAACGCACGTATAACAGAGATTGTTAAACCTCAAACTTTTGGGCCTTTTACAGGGGACAATAGCCAGAATAGTTACCGACATGCCTAAGACCATATAGGATAGTAGATTCAACAACATTCAAGTACATTTAGAACCACGTCTTCATCATCAGAATATGCTTTTTCAAATATGGGAACAAATACCACAGGAATACATTCAAGGTATTTTTGAAGGACTGCAGAAGCTGTTTCAGTTCAGCTCTTAAGAAGCCAACAGGATGATTGTGCGGCGTAGTACATCAAGAGTTCTTATCACAAGATCGCCGTTTGCTAATAACTAACCAAAAACAAAATCACAATCATGTCTCGGCCACCATAATCGCTGCATATCGCCTTTTGCGATTTTTTCTGTTCCCAAAACTCAAAAAACCCTTGGAAGGAAGTTCGAAACAACTGAGAAGATAAAGAAAAAATTGCTGCAAGAAATCAAGGCTATAAAAGAAAGTGCTTACCAGAAGTACCACGAGGATTGGAAAAAACATTGGCACAAGTGTATTATATCTGGGGAGATTATTTTGAAGGTAACGGTATTAATTTTAATTAATAAATAAACACCTTTTGATGATTACTTTTTGAACACAACTCGTATTATTTTAAAACTAAATTAAACTAAATAAAACTATTGTAGTAACCATAAGCGATTCAACATTTATAATGACATACAGGGTGTTTCAAAAGAAATGCCAAAAGAGGGTGATTAGTTGTTAAAGATAGATAAGATGCTTCTGTGTTCACTGTGTGGAATGACATAAATCCAAATTCACAATAGAGGTTCTAGATTAGGCGTGTAGAAAAGCACCCAAGCAATACCTATTTACCATATTCCGAATCCGAACTAGTAAATCCAGGGAAACCTAATGTCAAAAATAAGTCTTCAAAATTTGATTATATCTCATATTCGAGTACTATATTGAGGTTTTCCAGTCGACAAATTGGAAAAACTTATTTTTTTTTAAATTGAAAACCATTTTTTTCTGTATTTCAGATTACTGAGTTAATAGCCGATTCCATTTTTCCAACTTTTTACCACTTCAGACAACTGCTATATCATCTGTTTTTCTATTTCTGGGCCTGTACGTGTCCTATATGCCGTTCTCAAATAGGCTTTGTTCCTCGTATAACTGGTAAATTTTAAGCAGTATTATATCTTGATCACTTTTATCTACACCCGAGGAAATTTTCCATACAATTGATGTTGGAATTTTCGTCAATGTGGCCGTTTCTTCTAAAGATGCTTGCTTGCTGGCACCACGTTCAATAAAAGTCAAATAAACATTGATTATAACTTCCTTAGTCTTAATAGAATAGTGTTTTCTACATTTGGGCGGGAACATCTCCTGAGATACACTAGACTCGCACATATTTTGCATAATTCGCACACGATTCAACACACGCTGTATTACATACGAAATAAGAATTAATAAACTTAAACTAAGTAGTATACCAAACCAAAGAATATTAAACACAGGTAGGTATAAAATTATTTTCTATTACGGACCACAATTTTACCTGAATTTAAATTCCGAAACTTTAGGTAATAATCTTGTTGCATTGTATGTTAATGACCACCCTTGGATAATCCCATTCAAAAGCAATTGGTCACTTTCTTATATCTATGAACAGACCATACCTGCAATAGAACTATTTAATGATTGTTAATAAACAAGCAAATTACTGACAGTGAACCTACCAGCAATTCATGTTCGTTCGCTTCATCCATCTATTGTTCTATAACCTCATCTCTCTGAAACTTCAATCCCTTGTAACAAAAAACTACAATGTTATTTACTGCAGTTTATTACGATCTGACTAAAAGGGCAATTTTAATAACACGAATCTTAAGGTTTTTTAACTCAGGACCCTGCAGATAAAATTAATTCCAAATATTAATTAAATACTTTTTGTAATCTATTCCAAACCGTGTTCTCTGTTTATATGAATGTATGTATCCTGCAGAATTTGCGCCACTTAAAAGGCACAGGTTTATTAGCTATGGTAAGTCTTGTAAATTATGCAAAATGAGAGAAAGAGAAAACGAAAACAAACTAAAATGTTAAAACGCGTACTTACATAGTAGTCAATCGAAGAAAAAAATCAATAGGACCGTAACCGTGGGTTTGGGCTGTCGTTAAAGATGTCAAAAATGAAAAATTGCGTGCACTTTAAGACTGTGCTCCAATTAAGTGCGACCGAAGAAACCGAAAGTATGGCTAATTTGACTTTCATTAATTTTTTGTTTTTTTCGAAAGGCCAATATTCAAATATAATTGTCGTACGGACGTTTTCTAATTGCACATAATGGCGGAAAAATGCCCGACCGTAACGCAGAAAAAAAAACCGTAGGTATGTGTATCGGCCATTATATATTTTTGTCAGTGCCAAAAACAGAACTCGAGATACGTAGCCACGAGGGACAAA